TGCGGGGAGCAGAAGGCGCTCCCGGAGGACACGACCCCACGTGAGTGTGCACCCCCGGTTCTCCTCGATGCGTTCTTGAACGGACACAAGACGCGCCCGTGGCAGGGTTTCTGTGAACGCTGGGAAAGAGAACGCGTAGGCAGTTCCGTCCCTGCCTGCCCCCCAGTCGGCCTGGCCGTCTTTTCTCCGAGTGTTTGCTTTTGCCTCGGGGGTGCGGGGCCTGGGCAGCGGGGAGCGCAGTGCCTGTGGGAGGGGGCGAGTCTCCGCCTGTGGAGGGACGCACTGCCGAGCCCGTGCGCGCAGGACCCCTCACCACCAGGGCGCCTGTCCGGGGGCGGGGGGCAGAGGCCGCGGCGGACAAGGAGGTTTTCCAGGTGCGGGGAGGACGGCGGCGGGTCGGGCTGGCCGGGCGGAGCAGGGTGCGCCGCTGCGGGCAGGGAGGCCCAGGCCTTGCTGCGCGTCTGGAGCCACCTTTGTGGGCTGTGAACTGAAAACCGCCCTCGGGCACTGGTGGGCACGGATGTGGCCGCGTCAGGCAGGAGGCACCCACCTGCGGGCACCCCAGCAGCCTGGAGGAGGGGGGAAGGCTGCTCCCTGCGGGCCACAGCTGGGGTCCCTCTGCTGGGGAGGGGGCTGCGGCCAGAAGCGCGGTCCTGAGCAGAGAAGCTACTTTGTTCTGGAAAGTTAAGATCTTGCAATAATCAAAATAACTGTGAGGCCACGGTGTGGTCAGGCAGGCACTGCTGGGGGCGCCCCGAGTAAGTGCTGAGCCCTGTGCTTTGGGCTCGGGACACAGGCGGCTAGTAATGTGGGTGCTTGGGGGGATGCCCGAGTGGGTCGAGTCCGGCAAGCACATGGGGGTGGGAGCCACCTGAGCTGCGTAAGTTCCGAGATGGAAGGAGGCTCTGGATGACCGCCGGGTAACTCGTGGGCATCGTCTGCTCCTGTAGTGTCTTGCGGCCGTCACTCCCTGCGGGTTCTGTTGGGGGCTCTTGAGGACACAGGAGGACGTGTCCACCTGCAGACTCTCTGTGCACCCCAGTAGTTTGAAGGGTTGATTTCACACCGATTTGTACCCGTGCTCACATGATCTTAAGGCACATCGAGCGGGAGAACTGTCGGAGGGCGGGTGTGAGCCCCAGCAGGTGGGGGCTACTCACTGTGGTCAATAACCAAAGGAATCAGGTCATTTCAACAAAAGCCTGTGCTGGGAAGAAAACACCCAGACTTCTACAGGTAATCCTAGAAGACTGTGGCTGGAATCTTTCTAGCAAAAATAGAAAGATGAAAATAGCTTGCAGCTTCATGTGCTCTTCCAAGTCAACTGTGAATACGCTCAACTTGTGTTAGGGGCAGGGCAGCAAAGGATTACGGATTCATCCTAGATTGTCTGCCACCCCGTGATGGAAGGTACATGATTCGCTAACGGGCCTCCACCATTGGAGGGCCGACGGCCTTTTGTTGATCTAAATTTTTATATTTTATCTCATCTTATCAAATAAACCATGAAAAAATGTGAGAGTCCTTTGCACGCTCCAAATGCAGGTGAGGAAGAGAGAATTCTGGCTCAGTTACTGGGGGATAGAGGGGCAGCGATCATGACACCAGCTCGGATTTCACCCCTTGAATGATGCTTTCTAGAGCTTTCTCCCCTTTACACGCTGAGGATTTTGGACACATTTCTTTAGCAACCTGATCCATTGTACTGTCAGTTGTATTGCTTCCCTCCGGTCACAGCTTATAGCCCAGCACAGTCCGTCATTGTAACAGACGCTTCACAGCATATAAAATAATTAAGCACATTAACCCTTTGCGGGGAAGGACTTGCATAACCCTGGCTGTGCTTCACCCACGCGTCCTCCAGATTCCCTCTGCTCCCCGCTGTGCACGGGTCTGGACTCCAGGGGCTTGTCCCTTCTGACTTGTGCCTGGTTTCAGCCACTGGAGCACAGGCAGGAGGTCAGAGGGGGCACGTAGAGTTAGGGGTGCTCCCTCCTGGGGGTGGTGAGGGCTGCTTCTCTGTCTCCCAAGGCCATGGTCCTACACGGCCATGTTCCCTGGGCCCATGATCTCGCTCCCCCTTCACCTTCCCTGCGCCTGTGCCGTGAGCCTGAGTGTGCTTCAGCGGCCCGTGGCTTCCCATCTGCCGCCCCAGTCTTCATCAGGTCTCTGTTCTTCTCAAGTCACCCAGCCTGCATGCCTCCTTCCATCCCGAGGAGCGGAATGGCTTGATGGGAGGGCAGTCCGCTTCCAGAAGCTTCTTCCCTCTCAGAAAAGAAAGGGTCTGTGAAATCTGAAGTCAGCACAGGGATGTGGGGAAATGAATGAAAGTCATGTTTCTATAAAACATGAGGCTGATAAGCACAATGTGCAAGTATCGCTTTCGCGGGACAAAAATCCCCTCAAGCCCATGTGCTTCCTGGCAAAGGTCCAGAAAACAGAACGACTCCCGAGTCGGGAAGAAAATGTTCTGCGCTGGGGATTTCTGCAGAAGCACTTATTAAAAGTTGGTGTCGGGAGCTCTGACGCGGCGCTGGCTGGGAGCACCTGACGTCCGCCTGCTCTCTGCCTGTGTCAGCGGGACCCCCGTGCGGGAGCCGGGCGCCGCGGGGTCCCTCCCGCTGTGGTGGGAGAGGTGAGGATGCCCAGGGCGTCCTGCCATGCGTGTGTGCCCTGAGTCCAGAGTCCAGGCCACCCTGCCCGGCGCCCTGGGCCAGGCAGCAGCGGCCACTGTCCCCACAGCGAGTTGTAGAGTGACGGTGGGCGAAAGGGCGGACGGCCTCTTTTCATCAGCGCTGGCCACGTTATTTACTCTTCCCTCCAAATACGACTTTTTCATCGCGGTAACACTAGTTTACGAAACTGTATGATTTAGGGGTTCACACCTCTTCTATGTGTCACCACAAGTACCGCCGAAGCCCCCACAGTCCCCCACCAGCCTACTGGGCCCCCCGCCCACGCCCCCCTCCAGTAGCCTCCAGTCAGCAGCTTCCAGGGTTGCTTTGGTTTGGTTTGGGCTGTTGCTTTGTTTCTTTGGATTCCACTTGAGTGAAATTGTCCGGTATTTGTCGTTCTCCTCTGGCTAATGTCCGGTAGTATCATCCCCTCCAGTTCTGTCCGTCGCCACCCATGGCCACAGTTCATCTCTTTTCGTCGCTGAGTAGTATTCCTCTGCGGGACGGCCCACGTGTCCTTCATCCACGCCTGTCCTTGGGCACTCAGGTGGTGTCCACGGCTTGGCTACTGCAGGGCGTGCTGCACTGGACACCAGAGTGTGTGTCCCTTCCAGTTACTGTTTTTGCGTCCTCCGGGTAAACACCAAGGGAGGTGTTCGTGTGGCAAATCTGTTTTCAATACTTTGAGAAGCCGCCATAATGTCCCCACCAGGGCTGGACTGGTCTACGTGCCCACCTGGTGTAGGAGGACCCCGTTCTCCACACCCTCGCCAGCCCGTGTGCTTCGGGCTTTCACATCTGGGCCATGCCACTGGGGTGCGGACGAAGCTCACTGTGGTTTGGGTTTGCCCTTCCCTGGTGGTGAGTGACCACCAGGGCATTTTCTCATGTGCCTGACCACCGTCCAGATGTCTTCTTTGGAGACGTGGCTACTAAGCTCTCCTGCCCGTTTCTGGGTGGATGGTTTTCTTCTCGTTGAGCCCGTGAGTCATTTGTGGGTCTTGGATAGCCCCCCTCATGGAAAGTTTGAGGTGAAGGTAATTTCTCCACACACCAGCGTGTCATCAAAGCTGATCACTTTCAAAGGCCATTACTCACGACATCGCTGAGAGTAAAAGGGCATTAATGGGAGTGAGTGTCACCTGCTGCCGTGTGCTCGGCTGTGCACTCTACACACATCATCCCAACGAACCCCCAAACAGCCCAGTGGACAGACGGACTGGCCTGCCCCTGTGAGCGAGGACAGCCTCCGCCTCCTTGGCCTCACTCCCTTCTCTCTGCCAGACACAGCAGGAAGGATGGAAACCAGGCTCAGGGCTTCTCCGCAAGCCCACGCCCTCCTGGCTATTTCAGTGGCCGGTTTGCCCCGGAGAATCTGGCCGCCCCCCCGAGCCGAGGGGGAGTGTGTGTGTCTGCGTGGGGGTGAGAAGCGGCAGGAGCAGGGAAACGCGGCGACCGAGAAACGGGAGGCGGCAGACCGTCGCGGGGCTCCACACCTTTATTTGGTGGTCCTCACTGTCACTCCGCTGCCGCTGCGGCTCGCGGGGCCTCTGAGCTGTGTTTCCCGCGGGCCGTCGGCACCTGATCTGCTCGGGGTTTGTCACGCTAAGCGCACGGCTCTGCCTTATTAATAACCACGTGAACGTGTTTCGCTTGGCTCGTGAAATTTGCACGGAGCGCGGTTCTGTCCCTGGGCTGCACCTGGAGGCCCAGATCCCTCTGTTTCTCGGTGGCGCTACATCCTCTCACCCGTTCTGGCCTTTTTCAGATTGTGGCCAAACACAGGCGGAGCTGCCACAGCAAACGCGCGAGTGGGTGAGGAAACATGCCCGAGGGGGGCCCGGGGACACAGCCCACGGCTGGCGCCGGCCGGCACAGGGGCAGCGGGGGTCTCCGGCATCGGTGTGGAGTCCGGGGCTGGGGGGAGGCCCAGGACCGAGTGGCCCCCCGTGGCCATCTGACCGCAGGTCAGACACGTGAGTGAGGTGGGTCCGTTCTCTGAGCCGCCCCCTCAGCGCTCAGTAAGACCAACGGGAGAGGTAAACCCTTAAGCCGGACGACAGGAGTCCTCAGGAAGTCTGGCCCGCCCCCCGCCCCCCAAAACAGAAAGACAAAGGACTGCTGACTTCTCCCCGGCGGGAGCAGCCGGCACGATCAGGGGGTGTGTCAGGCTCCGCGCAGGCACTGGGAATGACTGAAACAAAAGTGGCTTCTTCTGAGGGGGCTTTGCTTTGGGGAACAAGGTTCTTCCTGGGCTGAACGGTCCTTCCTGCGCGGGGCGGGCGGGAGCGAGCGAGGGTGACGCGGGGCGCGCGCTGGCTCAGGGCGGCAGGGCGGTGGCCGAGACCCGGCTCCACGCGCGAGGTGTTCGTGGCTCTTACAAAAATCTTAAATACGAGTCAACGTGTGAACGGCGCTCTCCGCGGGGCCGGCCGGGCGGCTCAGAACCAGCCTCCGCCGGAGGCGGCCTCGGGCTGGGGCGGGAACACCACCTTGCACATGGCGGAGTTCTCCCGGTGCAGCGGGAACTCCGAGCCGGAGAGCCGCCGCTCCCGTCTGCGGCGGGCCACGTAGCCTCGGCCCGTCGCCAGCCTCTCGTACTTGGTCTCGAGTTGCCTGCGGGACAACGGGGGCGGCGTGAGCCCTGGGCCCCCGGCGGCCCGCTCGGCCAGGGCAGCACGGGAGGGTCAGGCCCCGGGCTGGGGCCCCACGTGGGCACTTCTGGAAGGAAGGACTGAACCCCTCAGGCTTGGGGTGAGCTGAGCTTTGCAGGCCTGGCTGGGCCTCCTGCCCCCCACCTGAGGGGCCCTCCCCTGTGAGAGAGCAGCAAGTCCAGCCAGATTTAGGCTGAAGACGCCCAGGGAACTTTCTGGAGCCCCGTCCAGAGAGAAATGCGCCGGGTCCCGGTCGCCGCCCCAACCATCAGAGGGTGCTTGTTCAGGAGCGTCCATGGAGGTTCACTAGAGGCTTGTTAGGGTGACCCGGCAGCACCCTAGTTCTGTGGTTGCACTGCACGGCCTCCTCCTAGCCTACAAGCAACCCCCACACCCGCACCTGTGCGTCCTCACGGGCCCGTGCAACGTCCCCCCCGGAGGCGCCGGCAGCGGCTCCGCTCAGGCCAGGGCTGGGGAGGCGTGCCGGGGCCACGCTCCGCGCACAGCGGATGCTCTGGAGAGCGGGTGTTGGGGAGGGACGTGCCAGCTTTTGAGACACTGAGAATGCCCCCGAGGATTACTGGAAATTCATGATTTACCAGGTTTCTACCATTTCCTTTGCATCCCGAAGCTGGAAGCGCAGAGCTGGGTGCAGGGGTCGGGAGCGAGAGGGGCCCGGAGGCTCCAGCCGCCTCTTACCTGAAGGGAGCCTCGGCCTTGTCCATCTGCAGGCACACCAGGAAGGGGTACTGGGAGAACTGCACGGTGGAGATGAACTCCAGGCCCGCCTCCGTCTCGGCGCTCACCTCCATGCCGGCTCTCACGAACGAGGCGTCCACGGTGACCTCGCCCGCGATCACCACGGCCAGCCTGCGGGCGGGGGGACAGCGGTGACTAGCGCCCCCATCGGAGCGGGCACGGCTGTCACGCATGGGGGCTGGACCCAGCGGTGCCCGTGGGACACTTGTGGGACCGACTCAGGACCAGGAGGTCCCTGTTGTTGATCTTCTTCTGCAAAGAATTCAATTCTGGTGTCTCTGGGGGCAGCTCTGTCTGGACAGTGCTGCAGAAACAGGAGGGAGAGGCTGCGTCGTGGGAGGCCCTGGGCCTCCCTGCTCGATACCTGGTGGGCTGCTCGCCCTCCGGGTGACTCGGGGTTCCCTTTGATACAGATGAGCCGCTTTTGACGGTTTCCGACTCTTACAGCACAGTCCAGAGGGGGTCCCGTCTCACGGACGCCCCACTGTACTTTAAACACCCCAAAAGGCAACAATGCACGCCCTTCTCTGCAGACAGAGAGACTGATGATTGTGATTACGGTCAAGGCTCGAGACCTTGATTTTAAAATAAAACACGTGCATTTCATGTGCTGGGTAGATTAAACAACACCAAGGAACGAAGAATATTTTCTTAGAAAAGCGCACACTAGTGAGGAACCTCGAGGACTCTGTGTCAGGCTTAGAGTGTGTGCAAGAAGGAGCAGCAGAGGAAACCTTATGTTCCGGCAAGAGGGAGACGCTGAAAGGCTTCCCAGGGGGGTTTCCCGACCGCGGGGCAGCTGGGAGGCGTCAGCCCCGGCCCCGGCAGCAGCTGCCCTGAGAGGCAGGAGCTTCCCGCCTGCTGGGTCAGGCTCAGGCTGCTCGGAAGACGCCCAGGGAAGCCCCCCGCAGCCCCCCCGCAATCCAGTGAAGCCGACTGCGCCTTAGTGATCATGGCAGAGACATCTGGCAAGTCAGAAGGTCAAACGATTCCAAAAACAAACGTCGGTGGTTCTGTCCATGAGCTCACCTGTTTTTCACCCTGGTCTTGGACTCCCGGTACCACAGGCTGAACTCCATGGCTCCGGAAATGTCAATGGCCAGACCGCCCTGGATCTCCATGTTGGCCTTGAGTCCAGACTGCAACTGGAGCTCCTGGAAGCAAGAAAGCAACCGAGCAGTGGCACCAGGGGAAGCGGCCGTCGCACGGGCAGGCCAGCCAGCCCTCCCGGGGGCCCCTTCCTGCGGGGAGAAGCCCCTCGACTGTGAGTGGCGGCGTCCTGCCCCGGCTGGGAGCACCATTGAATCTTGACCGCTTGGCCATGGCCTCGTGAACGCCCCACCGTCCCTAACCAGACCGACAGTCACGCCCGGGGGAGCTGAGCGCCGGCCAGCGGGCGTCCTCTCCGCCACAGCCCCACTGGGGGGCGCCGCGATTCCGGGGCAGCCCCCGGAGAAGAGCATCAGCATCGTGGACCTCGACAGAAATGCCAGCCCACGCATGCTGGCCCAGAAACTGGGAGGACTGTGAGCTGCTCAGCCGCCCCCCTGGATTCTGGCACCTGAAGGCGACCGACGGGTCTGGGTTAGGGTTAGGACGTTCTGGCGTCGGTTGAGGGGTGCCGCTGAGAGGCTCTAAAGCCAGGCGGCATCGGTGCCTGGGCAGTGCTGAGAAGGATATCGGAGGGGGGCACAGCCTCACCCAGACACCCCTGCGGAGATGGTGATCCAGCAGGACCGTGAGGGCACTGCCCTCTGCAGAGCGGCGGGCGGGCGCCCCGGCTAGATGCCCAGTTAGCCCTGGCTCACTCCAGAAAGGATCACACTCAGGTCCCCAGCTCCTTCCCACGTTCCACCAAAACACCGTGGCAGGAGACCTTAGTCCAGGACTCGGGTCCCCACTGAGTGTGCCTGTGGCCTGCAGCCCTATCACTCCGCATGACGCCTGCACACACGTGTGAGACTCTGGGCGTTGGGAGAGCCCTCCTGGCCGCACCCCACGCTGCCTGTGGGGGGACAGAGCTGTCCCTGCACCACAGCCGACGCGGAGGAGCGATCAGGCCGGGCCAAGCACAGCTCTCGTCACCGACGTCCACAGAGCGCAGGCGAGGCCCAGCTGGCCCCTGGCACTAGGACTGTTTCCACATGGCCAGGGGCTGCTCTGCAGTGTCTCTCTGCCCAGTGAGCCGCTCGGCCCCACAGAATCCGTGGCGCCAGGGCAAGGCCTGCACAGCTCTCAGGCCGGGTCCAGGCAGGCACAGGGACGTGCCGGGTCAGTGCAGGTTTCAGGGGTGCCCGGCTCCCTGGGAAGACCACGCTTCCTGGTGAGAGCTTGTGGGCAGGCACAGGGGACAGTCTTGGCCCCGCGGGAGGACAGACCATGGCCCCACAGGACAGACAGTCTCCCCAGGCCAGCGGCACAGCAGTGGCTGTCGCTCTCTAGGAGCACTGACAGCTTTGAGCGCAGACGTCCCGAGTCTCTGCATCGCATTCGATTTCCACCCCAGTCTCCCAGGCAGGTGTTCTGCCTGCAGGCTGAAGAGCAGGCCAGGCCTGGAGGCCATGTGCAGGGCGAGGCCAGCCTGCCGCTCCGTCCACCTGGAAGCCACGGCCTCCCCGGCCCCTGGCAGGAGCGCCCGCTCGAGGGCACCCAAGCCCAGCACCCGCCCGCCCCAGCGCCCGCCCCAGCGCCCGCCTCAGCGCCCGTGAGCTGCGGAGCAAGACTGGGCTTGTGCTTGTCGCTTAACGGCCCTTTGCTCTTTTACGTTTGTCTAAAAGTGCTTCCTCCGGGCCAGAGGCTGGCGTTTGGACCGTTCACCCCCATTGCTCCCCTGCAGGAGACACGCTCCTCGCGGGCCACCGAGGCTCCCCCGTGAAGCTGCCGTCACCCTCCGCCGAAGGGTAATCCAATCGCGGGGAGAGCGGCGGCAGGAGTCATTCCATCTGCCCGGCGGCCGGGCCGGCGCTCGCCGACGTCAGCGTCTGACCTGAGTGTCTCGGGCTGGCCGGCACCGGGTCAGCTCTGCAGAGCCAGGAGCTTCAGCAGCTGAGGCCGGGGCGCCCGCAGCCAAGTGCTCCAGGGTGAACTCTGCTCAACAGCACGAACAATGTTCCTCGCACCGCACGCCCCTGGCCCTTCCGCAATAAACACAGACGCGCGGAGACTCCGGGGAGGTGGCCGACGGCGCGCGTGGCCTCGACGCAGCCTGTGTGCAGAAGACGTCCTTCCCAGAGGCGGATCTCCTGGGGAACACGGGGCTCGGGGGGCTCCTGAGAGAGCCTGACCCTGCTGCCTTCCCCTCCGCCCCCCTCTCCGAGAGTGAGGAAGCCGCGTGGGCCTGAGTGAGCTGCAGCCGCAAGGCCACACGCGCGAGGTAAAAGCCAGTCAGGCGACTGAGCTGCTGGGAGAGCTGGGACCCCGACGCCATCCCGGGCCGCCACCTCCAGGGGCCTCACTCGGTGGGAACCACGGCCTGATGAGCCGCTCACGCGGCCTCTCCCTCGTCTCTCCTCGCCGTGTGGGCGCAGCCAGTGCAGGGAGATCACAGGGCGGATCCCCGCGAGAGCCGCGCGGGGCAAACACACCGCTTTGTGTCTCGCTCTGCCAGGTAAGGCAGGAAACAAGCCACCGACGGAAAACATGACCCTCGGACAGCCAAGCTCACGTCATTCAGACGACCCGCCTGCCCCCAGAAAACCCGGAGGGAGCACTGTCGTCCTCGAGCGCAGTCACCCTGGGGGTGAGGAAAACGAACCCTTCTGGAGCACGTAGCTGAAGCCAACGAAAGTAGGGGTGACCCTGAACAAGGTGAGGGCCTGCGAGTGGCCAGTCCCCGAGCCTGACCGCCGGCCGCCTGGGTGCCGGGTCCCGTGTCTGGGGACACAGCTGGGGACACGAGTTTCTGCGAGCGGGTGCTTCTGCCTGGACTAATCTGCAAGGTCAAAATGAGGCTGGACGGGGTCGTCCTCGCTGCCCGACAGGTCCCCGGCACTGACCGCAGCACGCGTCTCCGCGCCTGCCCTCGGGATGGAGGCCGTGCAGCCCAGGCGGAGGCAGGGCCTGTCTGCGCAGCTGCGTTTTGTTTCCTCCGTGACGTCTTGTTTCTTTCAGTATTTCTATTTGCTCTTTTGCCTCAACACAAGGAGACCTCTTAACCGGGTGAAAGGGAAGACGAGGTTCACCCAGGAGCGAGGGGCGAGGGTCCGGCACGGAGGCTGGGGCCAGGACGGCGGGCATCGTACCCCCCGCACGGGCGCCTGTGGGCTTGGGGCGCCTGCGGGACGCGGCTCACCTGGGAGTGATCGATGAGCAGGATCAGGCCCTTGACCACGCTGATGGGGTCACCCGAGGCCGACAGCATTTTGGACATCAGGTCGCTGTATCCGCTGAAGAAAGTGACGGGTCTGAGCTGCACGTCGAAGAGGATGGCCGACATGCCGGCGTAGGAGTCCAGGTTCTCCTCGCCCTCGTCCGGGGTGGCTGCGATCAGGGTCTCCAGGCCCTGCGCCTCGATGACCACCTGGGGGCGTGGACACAGACTCTGAGGGGCCGAGCCTCACGGCTGCAGCCTCCCGGGCCCGAGCCCCGCAGCGGGGCAGAAGCCAGACAGCTCTGCCGGGCCCCAAGGCCCCGCCACCCTCAGGGCCACCACGTGTGCAGGCGAGGCTGAGGCCGGCCTCCGGCCGTGTGTCCCAGAGCCCTGGCCTCTCCCTACATTGCTCACAAGCGACAGATGGTCTGGTGGGGCCCTGAAGGGTGGTGGGGAGGCTGCGGCGGGCACAGGGCTCCCCCAGGCACCTGAAGGGGAAGGCGGCACACCCCAGGGACACACTGTCCCTGCCCCTCCAGGCCCAGCCCCTGGCAGCATCGGGCCTCCTCAGGACAGAGGGACGGTGCTGTGCCGCCCTCCCCACGGGCGCTGGCAGCGTGGGCGGGAGCTGCTGACATGGCTCTGGGTGGCTTTAAAGCTTCAGTGATGATAGCGAGAAGCTTGGAATTTGATATGGATAAAGGCTGAAAAAGTCTGGTGATGAGGAAGGTTCCGGCACCGTTGCCAACTCCCGGACCGAGCTAGAGGGTGGAGGTCAGACGCTGTCCCTGCCCACTGCCCCTCCTGGCCGTGCTGGGCCTGGCCCTGAAAGTCACACCCACTGCCGCGGCCCTGTGGTGGGGCCCGGTCTCCTCAGATAAACACCCGGAGAAGGAAAACACCGCAGAGTAAAGAGCGCGCTACGGAGTCTATCTGTGAACAGAAAAGTAACGCTTTAAAAAGCGGGTGCGACACCCCGGCCTGATCTCAGCTCTGGGAACGCGTGGCTCTGAGACGACTCAGCCGTCAAGGTCAGCCTGAGACACGGGTGGGCGCGGGCGTGGGCCTCCCTGGGTGGCCGCCCCCGAACGCCCTGTGTCTTGTTTACCTCAGACGCCTCCCCAGACTGTGGGAGGCAGGATGCGAGGCTCCCCCGCCGTTACCTGGCTGCCGTGGAGGTGGGTGGCCCCCATGTGCTGGAAGATGTTGAGGTTGCTCCTCCGCAGGATGCCGGAGCCCGAGTAGAGGATGTCCAGGCTGTAGGTGGAGGCCGAGTGGGGGGTGCCTGGGGAGGAGAGGCCGAGCTCAGCAACAGGATGGTGAGAGCCGGGGGGGGGGGTGGGGACAGGGGTTGGGGGTGCGTGGGGTTGGGGGACCCTCCGGTACCCACGTTCTATGTAGCCGGTGTAGGCTGAGGACGCGCCGCTCTTGGCGAACCGGTCGTAGTTGTGAGCCACCATCTCCTTCAGGACCCGGCGGACCATTTTGCTACAACACAGAAGACGGAAGAGCTGCGGGGCTGGCCATGGCGGCCCCTGGGTCATACTCGGGGTAACCACAAACCTCGGTGGAGGAAAAGTGGCCCACTGCCCTCCCTCCGCCCTGAGACCCAGAGGGGCCGCTGGTCCAGGCAGGGCTCGGCACTCCGGGGGTGTCTGAGTTTCACGAGGTGCAGGGAGGACGGCAAGGCGGGAGCACCCGCGGGGAGGCGGCCGCAGTGGCCCAAAGATGAGGCTCAGGAGCGCTGAGGGAAAGCTGTGCCCATGGGGCCGACCCACGGCTTCCAGCCGCTTCCCCTCCATGCCTCCAGGTCCTCCCTGGTCACCCCCTGAGGTGTCTCCTGTACTCAGGTGTGCCCCTGACAGAGACTCCCAGCAACGCCCCCAGGAGAACCCCCGGCTCCTGCCAGTCTTCGCCACATGGGCGTTGGGACCATCCCACCCCGACTGTCCGGCCCTGGCCGCGCCGGTGACCTTGCAAGAGTGCAGCGAGCACCAGGGCCGTGAGCCCGAGGACGCAGGCACGGCGGCGCGGGCTCACCTGGCGGGCATGTCGAAGCGCAGGATGTCCTGCACGGTGGCCAGCATGTACTTGTTCATCTCCTTGGGCAGCTCCCCGATGGACAGCAGGATGTTCTTCACCTCCATGTAGGACGGGTTGCTGCTCAGGAGCACGCTGGCGGCCGTGGTGCGCACCGTCTTCTCGTGCACCTTGCGGTTCTGGTGGTAGATCCTGTTCAGGGTCTTCTTCACCTGTGGTGGGGGCCGGCGTGGTTAGGGGGGCGGGGGGACGTTCTGACCGTCTTGGTCGACGCCGCGGGCATGTGAGCACCTGTGGAAACTCACGCGCCCCACGCCCAGGGCGTCGGGCTGAGGCGCTGACCGCGGAACAGCGCACAGAACTGCCCCCCCCCCCGTCCCCCTTCCGCGCCGCCACGCCGGCCCTGGCCTCGCACGCGGGGCGGGCACGAAGGAGACCCGCTGAGGCGGTCACTGCCTCCGTCCTCCCTCACTGGATCGCAGACACTTCTGCCCAGAGGGCCCGGGCACGGCGCCTTTCGGAGCCGCAAGCCCACAGCGAGGAACCTCAGCTCCTCCTCCTCAGCGAGTCGACAGACTGTCTTTGGCAGCAACGCCGGCAGGCTGAGCAGAAGCGCAGACAGCCCCAGCCCGTCGGCCCCCGCCCCCCCGCCCGTCTCTCTCGATGAACCTACACGGACTCGTTGTCACCCCCCGAACCACAGCACACCTCGAGCTTCGTGAAAATAAAGCTTTAACAGAAAATTTGCCAAAATAACGGTCACTGTTTGGGTTTGCATTCCGTGGCAACAAGAGTTTCGCTGGTTACTGGGCCTGCCAGCTATGCAGTGGGTGCTCAGGACCAGGCATTAAAAATACCGCTTTTAGTTCCATTTCCTTCTGCTTTTTCTACCCAAACCACTGAGCTTGCTCTGGGGTAGCTGGGAGTGAAGTGGCTCATGTGAGCACGGGACCCTGGAAGGGGCAGAGCCACAGCTCCTTGGCGCCCGCGGCCCACCAGCCTCACCACGCTGAGGAGGGGCTAACGGCCAGGAAGACCCCTCGGCGGGAATCCCCGTGGGGCTTACGGCATCCTTGCCCCGACAGAAGCTTCATCTCGAGGCTTCCTGAAAACGTGGCTGCAGAAGCCAGCTGGCTAGTTGTAGGTCACCAGGGATATTAAAGCTCAAAAGATGGAACAGTCTCTTAAAACTTAAGGAAGTAAAGCTCTTTCCAAAAAGAATCTTCATAAAACAAGAGAATAAACCTCAGTATTTACGCTTCAGGATACAGGACATTGTTCAACACGTGCGGCTGCTTCAGAACAGCCTCACCCCCGCCTGCAGAGCTCCTCCTCGCCAGGAGAGAGAGTTAGTGTGGGGGGAATAAGGTGCCTCCTGTTCAGGCTTTTGTCCTCCTGCGCATTTGCACTTATCCCTGGGGGCTTTACCTCCTCAGTGATGAAAGGGACGTCGTATCTCTGCAGCACGGTGACAGCCAGGTGGCTGACCGGCCCCTCCCCGGCCTCGGCCAGCTTCAGCAGCAGCGGGATGCCCTCGGGGAGCAGGGCGTTCTTCAGGGACAGCAGGTACATCATGGTGTCTGCTTTGCTCTCGGCCTTTTCAAGTCCTCCCAGGATTAACTTCTTGGCTTCTACCACTGCCTGAAAAAATGACATCTAACGTCAGACACGGTGCCTACAGCCCACAGCTCAGTGGAGACTGGCGTTGCTCCTGGGTCCGAGGCACACAGAAGTCTTCAGGCAACTTTGGTTGCCTGATGGAGGCACGCGGAGAAAATAAACCAGCGCAGCTTGATGAAGGAGCAGGTCTCTGTGCCTACTCAAGCGTGTCATTAATAAACACATTGCGAGTGTGAAGTCATTTATAAAACTCCCTGTGACTGATTATTCATAAAACTGCTGCGATGCTGAATTTCCCAAGCACAGTCAGAGGGAACCCAGCATGACTGGGGGCACTTAGGAGGCAGAGAGAAGGTCTTGCTTTGAAAAAAGCCTGTCTCCTGTGTCCAGTAGATTCCAGGGTTGGTGGATGCTGCCAGATGGGTTAAGAAAAGTTTCCTGAAGGCCTTCTATGTGGCAGGTACTTTGCAAAATGCTCTTTAATTAGACAAGGCTTTCCCCCTCAGATCTTGGGTGGGAGGGGGGAGGAACTAAGTACAGAATCATAGTTTCATGGAAAAGCAAATCAGAAACAGGGACACTGGGGTCTGCACTTTATCTTTGCTACTGTGCGTGTTTTAGGGACTCAGCTCCATCTTTAAAATAAAGGTTCCTAAGCTGGAATTCCTGTGTGGGGTTTGCAGACTCTGAAATTAGGCTGTGGGCAGACACACAACACACACAGTGAGGACAGGGGAGGAAATCATAAGTTAAAAGGCCCCCAAATAGAAGGAAAGGTGCTAACATCCACCTCTAGTTAGGGAAACGCCCCCAAGAACCCAGATGCCCGGCCTACGGGCACCAGGCAGGAAAGTGCTTCTGGGGAAGATGCCGGATGTCTGCAACCTGCTCACATGCAGCAGCTCAACCAAAATTATATTTAAACTGAGTTAAATGGGAAAATGCAGGCATGGCACTGGGTGAACTACTGGGCAGTCCAGGGGAAGGGTATGCAGACATTCACAGAGCTATACTGTTCTCACCACTGTTCTGTAGGTTTGAGTTTTTTTCAAATCCAAATTTGGACGAAAAAGAAAATTAGGTTGCAGGGAGGTCAAAAGGTTAGGAAAAACAAATAGGAAAAAGTGGGGAGCTTGGTATTCACTGTGAGCTTGGACCCTCGCTGCCTCACTGGAAAATGCTGGAAAGCAGTGGGGTGGATGGCAGCTTCCTATGGTGTGCCTTGTTTTTAACAGTAAAAATGAAGAAAGCGAGACGATAGCCAATCCCTTTGAGACAGAGGCTACGTGACTGGAAACGGGCTGTACAATAAATGTGGACAGAGAAAAAAGGCTGTTTCTATATATCCACATCTTTCATCTACTTGCATTATAGAAAGATGGGATCTGCTGGATCTTAATCCATTGGGTTTTCCATATTTAGTTATGCTTACAAAGTGGGTGCATTTTTTTTTGAGAGGTTTTTTTTGAGAGATTTTTTGCTGAGAAAGGTGTTAAAATTGGTAAACTACTCAGGCAAACGGAGAAACTTTGAGCAAATGGATTACAAATAAAATGTAATGTTGTAAGTAATCAGAAGTATCTCTCCTGCTATCAAAACTCAAAATTACAAGCCACACTCCGCATGGATAAAACTCCCTGTAGCAGCAGCCGAGAGTCTCGTCTCGTCTGAGAACAAGCAGCAGGCCCCCGCCTCGGTGCAGGCTGGGAACCGTGGGTGACGAGGGAGGCACGGACCCGCCAGCCGTCACCTGAGCACCAGGTTTTAAGTAACAACACCCGGCTGTTTGCGCACAGGTCTCGGCGTCTGCATTTCGGTGGGAAACCGAAACAAGCAATGTGGTAGCTGGACGGAGAAGTAGAAGACAAACCTGCCGTGCAGACAGGGCAGGAGGGGTCAGGAGGGGTCAGGAGCGGGCGGCGTGTCGGGCAGCAGGGCTGGGGTGCGGCTCGCAGGCCTGGGCTCACTCACCTTGAGTTTGCAGCCTTCGTTCTGACACAGCTTCCGGACAAGGGCCCCGATGACGATCATCACGGTCTCCCTGATGTCATTGCTCGCGAAGGAGCCTTTGAACTTTCTCTATGGGCCAAGCAGGAGAAAACCGGTTACCAGAGCCTCTAGACATTTCTGTAAGGAACAGGGGCAGGAAGCACGTGAGCAGCGCCCGCGGGAGAGTGGCGGGCTCCCCACGGCTCACATGCCCACGGGTGGAATAATTGCTAGAACCTCTTCCCCTTCCAGGTAGTCTTAATAGGGCTTGACCACCCAGTTTCATGGGTTGGCCAACTGGGTCACTGAACGAGAAGGGGCCTGTAAAATTCCATGTGTGGGTGTAGGGGGCTGCGTCGCTTTCGTCAGATCCTCATGCAGGCCCATTTTCCAAGAAGACCATCGACTCTCCCACTGGGCATGGTGCACACACGTGCTCTGTTTCATCTTGCACCAACCAAGCCTGACTCCTGATTCCAGTGTGAACTGGTCTAGCATCCGGAGAGCTGTCTCTCTCCAAGGCACTGTGTATGAGACACCATGGAGATTTCTGAAGCCAAAACAAATCTTTTAAAATCACTTTTGGAAGCAAAACCGGGACTCCTCCCTTCTGAAGGCCTGTCCTATGTCACATGACACGATCGGTGAACACAATTTTATGAGGCACAGTTAGTTCTTGGGAGGCCTTGTAAAGACACCTAGTCAAGGAGTTTACTGTGCACTGAGTGACTAATGCCTAGAAAACAATCCAGCAGAATTGGAAAATGAATAATCAGAAGGTCCTAGGCTCAGCCCTCGTTGTGTTGTGAGCAGTATTCATTCCCACGTAGATTCTTGAGAAACCGAGAGCCTCTGTCTCCCCAGTGCCCCTGGACTTACGATGAGGGCATACAGGAGGTCTTCGTTGGGGTGGGAGGCAAAGCCGCAGGCATAGAGAAAGCGCTCCTGCAGGACAATGCTGCTGTCGCTCTTGAAATCCAAGAAGTCCAGAATGGCGTCCAGTGAGTCTGGGGTCTGGGCGGAGGTGACGGCGTCCACCAGCTGTGGCCTGCAGGAAGGCGGCGTGGGTTAGGGCTCGGGGTACCAAGGAAGGCCCACAGCCCCGCCACTCACAGACTGCCCACTGGTTTGGGTTTCCCAAGTAGGTGAAATTCGTTTTCATTTGGACAGAAGAAAAACAAATGACTCCCAAAGCCCCCTGCCATTTCATCTTAACCTTTGCTAAGACCCCCTCACTCGGCACATGCTCAGAACATACCAAACTGCCGCATGAGCCCAAGCCGAATGTAAATGCACTGTTTTTAACTTAAAGTTACATAAATTACAAATTAGGTTCAAAGTCGCTTCTATGCGTTACACATAAAAGCTAAAACTGGTTCTCTTTCTGCTTTAAAGATACACACATTCTTCAGTTGCCTAATTTAAATAGCGCAGTATTATTTAATAGAAAGATGGACACTTCTGTTAACTAAGTGATAGCTGAGGGATAATTTTTCGCTTTATTTTCATTGAAAAAGCACCGCGGTGTAGCTCAGCCACAGGCTTCTGCAGGGCGGGGCAGAACTCCCACAGGAAAGCTCTTTGCATGGTGGAGGCTGAACAGTCATGTTTCTGAAACTAGGTGTCTCACTAATGGTCATCTGTATAGAATATTCTCATTCGCATCCTATAAACATGCCATATAGATAGAGATAGACAGACAGATAGAAAGAAAGACAGATAGATTGATGCAGTGCTCTGTGCTTTAAAAAAGATACCCTTGCAGTTTCATCCTGCTGCTAAGAAAAAGCCAGTGACTGAAGCGGAGACAGAGATGACACTTATCACGTGCGTGTTACACATGCACTGCACTCAAATTCTGGGTGTGCAACCCCCAGTTGCTTTCATTTCTTCTTGTAACAGCTAAAAACGGTCATTGCCTTAGGGTTGCTGGGAGGATTAAACTAATCTCTGTGAAAACACGCAGGCCAGTGGTGGCACTCAGTGAGCGCTCAGTCAGCACACGGTGCTTTCCACACGCTCACCTCCCGTTACCCGCAGAGGCCTCCCCGAACCCCTGCAGCACACTCAGCCTCAGGTGAGCCCCAGGTGGGTGGGAAACCAGCACGACGTCGCCCCCATCACGGCCGTCTTGAGAGTTTCGAGTACAAGCATGGCTGCGGGTTAGCGGCATTTCCACTCTCAGTCGCTGGTTTTTATGCTTGTCAGTAGTTTTGTTTTTGTTATAAAGTGAAATCACTCTACTACTATGTTTTTAAATTCTCCCACTAAAACAGTGTCTGGGAACTTACGGTTTTGTGTATCTTTCACCTGGTGGTTAAATATTTGTCTCTGCAGAGAGGAACCGAGTTGTATTAGCCCTATGGAATGTGAATCATTTTTTTAATGTCCCCAGGCAAGTCAGTTCATGAGTAAGAATAAACAGACTGCAAGAAAATTAGCTAAACTCTCTTTTGGAAATTGAAACCTTTAAACTCGGTGCTACTTGCTGCTGCTGCTGGTGTGAGTGTGTCTGTCTGTCTGTCTGTCTCTCTTGGCCAGTCCCCACTACTGGTGTGTTAACAGCGTCCATGTTTCTTCAAATTAGTCATCACTCGGGTCACTGGCATCACACAGCGGACTGTGTGTTTACCATTCTGTATCACAGGCAGAAAACACTTGTATTTATAGGCAAAGTCAACTTGAGGATTCAGTTGGCCCTGGTTGTGATGTCTGTACATGGCCAGCACTTTCACCAAATAGTTAAATAATGCACACATGTCTTTGCTCCGGCGTCTCCGGCCGCTCCCGTCCTTCTCGGCTGTCTATAAAACAGGGGTGTGGTGGGAACGGCCATTGCATCTTTGATAAACACCCCCTTTTCCACCACAAAAAGTCATACTCGATTTTGGCTTTATAATCAAATCTGAGGCCTTTTCAGGCACAGATAACTTGGGGTCCACCACGGGAGACTAGTGAGGCGGCAGAGCCGCGTGGAGATGAAGCCCTGCCCCCAGCCTCGCGCCCATCTCTGCCCAGTTTTAACTCATCAACACTCAAAACAATGATGGTTCGAGTCGCTACTGAAAACGTGTGTTTTGGGTCCGTCACTGTTGCGCTACGGGGCTGCGGCACAGCCCGTGCAAATCCGAAGTAACTGCTCTGGAGGGGCCCGGCTGGCTCCCAGGGGTCCCGAGCCTCACAGCAGCGGCCACCCAGACAGCCCCCCTCGGCCCGGGCACTCACAGCACTTCCTTGTTCTCGGCCTTCAGGATCTGCACGATCTCCTCCCTCTTGGCCGTGCGCAGGTGCTGGATGAAGGCCAGGAAGCTTCTCACGGACGTGGCCTCAGACAGGCTGTCGGGCTGCAGGTGCTTCCTGACCGACTGCCAGTGCTCCGAGAGCTGCAAGACAGGCGCGGGCTCAGCCACGGCCCCTCGAGCGCTGCACCCCGCCGCCGCCAAGCAGACTGCAGCCGCCCTGAGCCGGAGATGCGCTGGGCCGCCTCTGAGGGCGGGTTGTGGATTCAGATCCTCTTCCCTCCCTCCCTGCTTCCTCCCTTCTGTCTTCCCTTCTCGCTTTCTAAGAGCTGCAGTGACAATGTTGCACCGAAGTTGGAAAAGCAAATTGCTCCCAGGCACAGCCCTTCCTATAATAGGGAAGGGGTAATTGTCAGAAATCGTAGTGGACTATGTTGAACGACTGTGGGGAAGACATTAATAGTTTCCAGGCTAAGAAAAGACGGTTTCATTAAGCACTTCGCTGACACTGCCCCTCTCAGCGGACAGGAGGCAATTATGTCCTATGTGGGGGAAAATCCAGTGGACAAAACACCCAAGTCTCAGAATGATTTTCTCTGTCATTTTGTTTTCCCTTAATTCAACCCTGGTAGATCTGAAGGATGTTGAAGAATCAGTGCCTGTACTTGAAGCCCATCGCGGGACTAGCTCCGAAGGTCCTGCCTTCCTCAACACCAGACAGCGGCCCCTCAGTAAGGGCGTCACGGCCGACTCTGACGAGAGCGGGAATTTCTCTTTGTGGGGTGAAGAGCGTGCAGGATTAGCTACACTTTGCCTTGGGGATGGGCTGCCACCCCCAGCGACTTATAGCGAAGTGTCACTGACCCAGCAGAGTGCCGGTCGCTGCCTCAGTCCCTGTACACCCTGGGCTGGCCCAGGGCCGTGCTGCTGTGGGCGTTCGCTCAGCACATCCAGGCCCAGGGCCCCGCCTGGCCTTGGTGCCAGGGGCTCCCCAAAGCTCCCAGGCCTGCCCTCCTGCGTTCTAGGCACTACCTCTAAAGCTGCCCTACAGCGTCCCACCTCTGACCTCAGCCAGCGGGTGCTGTGGGGGGCACCACCCCAGGGGCACCACCTCAGGATTCCTGGCAGCTTTCACAGAACTCACTGAACCTTCATGAGGGACCAAAGGAAACAGATTTGAGCACCGGCTTTCCACGCGCACACTCACAGACGGGCATCCTTTGCACTCGCTCTGGAAGGCCTGGCCCACAATGGGGAGGGCCGTGTACTTGGAATCCACAGCTTTGATGGCGGCGGCAACCTGCTTCCCAGGGATCAGTCTCGGGCCTGCTTCTGTCGTCTTCAGCTCTAGTTTCTGCCTGTGTCACCACAGAGGAGAGAAGTCCACCGTCAGCATTCTTTGGCCACAGAAGCTGATTTATTCAAGGTGTGTAGGGTGATGTCTTTGCCACTGTGGTATCTCCAGAGGCAACTGGAACCTCAGTCAAAGATTTGAAAATTTAAACCTGGACTTTCAAAGTACTACGACCAAGAATGCAGGGGAGAAAGTCTCCTGGAGGCTGCACAGGCTGAGTGCTAGCAGCCCTGCTGCATTAGCCCAGCTCCCTGGAAACGGGTCTGTGATGTAACCACATCCCACTTACAAGACAACCGGGGAATCTTACTTCCCAGAAGCAACCTCAATAATATTTTTGTCTGATGCGCCCTTTCAGAACCACGTCTTGCCCTCAGCGAGGGCTGCATCTGGGCAGGACTCTGGGGCCATCCTGATGAGAGAGGACAGCAGGCGTGACACTGTGTGACTTAAGCCCGAGTCACGAAAGGGGAGCAGCCTGCATCTCTGTGCTGGCAGCACAAGCCCTCGGAGACCACACTCCAGAGGAGAGACCGTGCTGAAGGCCACGTGAGACAGGGCGAGAGTCACCAGGAACCTCAGCAGGTGGGTCTCCTGCCCAGGTGGAGACAGGTGAGGAGCGACTCTTGACCCACATCAGACCCATGACAGCAAAGCACGCAGATGCCAAGGAAGGTTCCAGAATTAAGAGGGGAAATAATGAAGTGACTGTGGCTTTTTATATCACTGGGTATTGAGTGGTTAGTTAGAGCAGTGGCCACCAGACGGGCCTGATAACACATCTGAGATCTGTACTTTATATGGCAATACATAACAACAATATACAGCATAAACTAGAATGGAAAATTCTCCTCCAGATGAAACGTCGATAGCGTTTCCAGTTTGAGGAACTTCTCCCATTCACCTCTGACATTTAGGCGCCCTCAGAGGAAACATTCGAGAAGCGATGGCAGAAGATAAAATACACGTTACACTAGACAATGTTCTTCTGAATTAAAATCTGAAGATAACACACACTCTTGGACTGGAAATTCCACTTCTTAAGCCTGTGACGACTCTTCTGACCAGAGAAAATGCCTCAAACTGAAATCACAGGCCTGCTTTGGGAATTTTTACGTGTTTCTTAACAATAGCAAACTCTTGAGAAGAGAACACACAAATGACACCACTTTAAATCTCAACAGTGGAAACATTCAACAGAGAAATTATGTAGGATGAATCAAGTACTTTGTTTTTTTAATTCAACTGATGGACAGATGGATTTCCATGCAAGTCTATTAGAAAAGAGTAACACGTGCCATGTGTTATTGCAGATTACGTAAGAGTTGAACAAGACATAAGCACTGTTTTCAAGGCATTCACCATCCATCTGAGGATGCGACTGCCACGTCTTTATCTGTCCTATATATGTGTATATATCTATATATCTCTCTCTATATATATATATATATATATTTAAAAACCAAATGTAGCCATGTTTCAAGGAAAAGTAATCAAGACTGTGCATATCTTACTTTGAAACGATTTTGCCTGAGATGCTGTGTAGAAAATTCAGCCCGAAGGCGTGTGTCTCCTCGGCCAGCACGGCGATCACAAAGCTGTCCTCTATCTTATAGGTGGTGACAGAAGAGGCTTTCGACGTGACCCCCAAGACCTCAATGAAGAAAGAAGTGTGTTTTGTGGTGATGAGCAATCAGCTATTTATCTTTGCATCAAGCCTGACCACAGCGCATCTTTTCATCTTAGAAGAGCTTCCACATTATTCACTCCCCCACCCAACCTATAATATGTTAAACTCCTCACTGATAAGTAAACCCTAAACTAGAAATGATGTTTCCCAATGGTATCGTGACCTTATTTTCCTGCAGTTTAAATTAACCTCACAAAATGTAACAGTTTGGCCAGTCGTAGGATGCCCTGCAGCCATACCTGATTTGGGGTTGTGAATCCAGGCCTTTCTATCTTGCAGGAATCCAAGGCCTTTACTTTGATCACTTTGTCTTGCTGAGCCTGGTAGGTCACTTTGCAATCCCCAGAGATATCTACCTAGAAAGGAAAGTGAGCAGAGAATATTTGGGAACCACAGATGGCTCACTTGAATTCCAGCAGAAAGTGCCGTGACAGCTGGTCCCTGGTAGGCCCTGCGGCCTTTTGTCCCCGCTAATGAGATAGGAACACAGGAGAGGACGCTGTGTCCCCCCCACAAGCGTGGGCCCTCCCTCCTCTGTGGCTGGAGAGCTCCTTGCTGATACCCTGATTGCCCCATGAATGATGACGGTCTCCTACTTCACCCTAACGTGTAAGAACTGGACAGATTCTCTGGCCAGAACCAGTGTGTACTCTGACTTAACCACATTAGAAATTCTTAGCATACTTAGACTTCTTAGCGCAGTAGCTCTGCATCACAGCAACAACTCTTGGAGTGCAACAAAACGTGCTGATCTGAGCCCCCGCCGTGCCCCCACCCCACCGCGTCAGCCTGCGCCGGCCCACACCAGGAGACAGAGGCACACCCAGAGTCGGCCTGCTTGGCCACCAGGGTGGCTCCGAGGAAGGGCCATCTCTCAGCTTCTCTAGTTTTACCCTCGCTTTCTTCATCTATAATTCGAAGGGCTTGTGTAGAACAGTGGTTCTCCAAACTGACAAGGCCCCAGGCGCAGGGAGTCGATGTTTGAACGAGCCTGGGTCTGACTCACTCGTTCTGCAGTTTCCTTCACACGACCAATCCTATGCCCCTTTGTCCTGCCTTTGGGTAATAAAACGTTGGGAGAAAGGGCAAGTAGTTTCCTGTGTAAATGAGACCTGACCCCCCACTCCCCTCCTCTGCGCACTGCCAGAGCAGGAGTGCGTTTGCAGAGGTTCCACCAGCAGGAACCAGGATGAACGATTCCGGCGACTCTCTCAACAAATGCAGCTCTGGGTCCTTGATGATTTTGACTCGTACCTCATTGGTGTTCCCAGAGGTCAGCTGCATCTGAAACAGGCTGGCCAGGCCTCTCTTGAGATTCTCAATGGCCACGGGCTCATTCGGATATGCGTAGTATTCTTTCACCTGGGGGGTAACAGACACAAATGAAGCAAAACGGCGTTACTCCTCAGCCCTGGTGAAGCAAGAGGCGGGAAGGGTCAGATCCCCTCCCTGTCCGTTCTGGGAGCAAGGGACCTGGTACTCCAGAGCCGGGATGTCTTGTCTTTTCTTTTTTGCAAAAGGAAGCTACTTAAATTTCAAGCGAGCGAGACATGGGGACACGGGGTGTCGGGGGCTGATAACGGGACGGGGCAGGCGGGGGTGCGTGCGGGTCCTGTGACAGCAAGGGCTGCCTGAGGAGGAACATTCCCGTAGAATGTGTCAGTGTGGTCACTCCCCCAGCCCTGCCTGAAACAAAACTACCCAAGTTTTAAAGTGGAAGCCAAGAAACGGGTGCTTGGGAGAGAATGGCGGCAGCACCCCAGGGCAAGGGAAGGGTGAAGGGAAGGACTCTGGGTCTCCTCCCTCTCAGGAGCCACAGGGACACGTTCTCTGCAAACACATGGGGACTGCCGTCTCCAGACAGGACGCGTCAGACACGGGTGACCGGGCTGCTTCGGCCCAGGGGCAGGCAGGAGGGCCGAGGGCGGGCCCGAGGCCCAGGGCATTTGTTGGTGAGTCTTAGGAACTTCAGACAGTGAGGGCGCCGTTAAGGGGGGAGTGACATGTGCTGTGTTCTGCGTCGTCATGTTCCTTACAGGCCCACACGTGCCTCAACTATTTATAAGGTTTGACCTAAACTGTCTGGAAAGCCAGCTGCCAGGTGTCAGCCTGGGCTCTGCGCACGGGCCTGCCTCGCTTCACGGGGCGAGGACCCACCTGCGCCCTGACCCCAGGTCCCTGAGAAGACACGGCGAGGAACGCTGTGTTTCCTGGTGGGCCAAGCAGTTACACTGTAGGATGAGAGAATTTTTCTCTCCCTAGAATTAGGAAAGTAGACAAGTCTCCCTAAAATCTGCTGCCTTGGGTAGAGCAGCGAGCTCCGAGTCAGGCCGTGCTATCTCTGCGCTAGCTGGTTGGCAGGACGGACCAGGCGGCTGCTGAGAGCTTAAAATAATAGTAACACCGAGGTCAGAGCACTGTGGTCAGGCCACGTGGCTGTCAAGCAGCGACCTTAATTCATTATTTCACAACAGGCACTAAGTTTTATTACTTCGGGCCATAAAGCTGATTACTTCATTCTGCACCGACATGAGTTCTGAATGCTCAGGAGCACAGGACTTTTATGTTACCCCAGCCCCAGAGCTTCCTGCTTACAAACCCAGCCTTAGCTCTAACCCCAGGAAACCAGCACAGAGGACAGCTGGGGGTCAGGCGGCAGATCACACTTCTGAGGACCTGGACCTCTTGGTAGCAGTAGAGGCCATCCACAGTTTTTCCTTAGGAAGGAAAGCTCCAATACGTTCCCGTACCCTAGCTATTCTTGAAGAGTAAGAGACGGCAAAAAGCCGTGAGCTGGTCACACAGCGACCAGAATGTCACCTTCCTCGTGCTGTGGTGTTATCCCTCCCAGCGGCCCCGGTGCACCTGTGAGATACAATCAGATCTGCCTCACGTGAGATGGCCAGAGAAGCAACAGGCTAGGTCAGGAGGCCTCAGGGCCCCGCACCTCCTTGGGAGGCTCAGAGGGTGGAAGGGGCCACACAGCCACACTCAGCAAGCAAGTCGGTGCCCACAAATCACACACACACACACACACACACACACACACACACACACACAGGCCAGCTCAGCAGGCCTGCGGGTAACACAATGAGCACAGGCAGACATGGGAATCTGTAATCCTCCAGTCAGCTGGACTGGCCTTCCGGTCAGCTGGAAAGCGCCCACGCCACAGCTGAGCATCCTTGGTTGTCCCCGTTAACCCGTCCTGACTGGCAGACAAACCAGGGCCCCAGCAGCGTCTACAGGGGACACGGGCGTGTGGGGACACGGGCGTGCGGGGAGTTCTTGTCTATGGCAACGGTCTCTGTCGCAACAGAAACACGGGCCTTCGGCAGAGTGAGGGCAGGACAAGCCATGCGGACTGGCGAGGGCCCTGGACGTCTCAGGGATGTCAGGGCAGGCCCAATTTGCTCCTGGGCTAGGAAAAAACTGTGTAAGAAAACTGCCAGTCAGCAGCCCCGCCTCTCCTTCCTACGGTTGCTCTTTGGAAGCCAAAATAGCTTAAACAATGCTGGTTTCCGGCAGTGACGTGTCTGAGAATTCCACATGGCTTCTGGGTCTCCAGGGTCACGTCTGACAGATACTTTATCGTGTAACTGAAAGATACCAGGGGTACTTTGACCTGTGGCTTGAGGAAGTCACCAGCAGTCACAGGCCCTGGACCCCGCAGCAGGGACTCCTGATGTGGCAGGTCCACCCCAGCCTTTGGACGGGGAAGGCGTCCAGCTCTGTGTGTAACCGAAGACTTTGTCCTCGAGCACTGCCTAAGGGGCTGTAAACCACCAGTTGTCATTAAGATTATGAACGTCATTAATATTTTATGGGCTCAAGTGTCTTGCCACATTGGAAGGCCAGAGAAGAAATATCACTTTTTCGTGCTCCAAACAAAGTTGTGTCCTGTGCAAGTCAGTGATTTAATAGCTGAGGTGAAGAGTGAAATAGGAGCACGCCAGGCAGCCAAAGACGCGGCCTTTCACCAAGCCCTGTGCGCCGGACACGGTGTAACACGCAGTTCCCAGCAAAGACTGAGATCAGACCCTCCGTTTTGACCCCAGCTCCACACCTGGCGGCTGGAAGCGGCCACTAAGCCAGCCCTTCACTTCCTTCACTCTGTCTACTCATCTGTCACCAGAAACATCCAGGCAGGACAAGGCTCCAGGCCCGCTGGGGAGCAAGGGCAGGTAGGGCAAGAGGGGAAGCAGAGGGAGAGGCTGGAACAGAGCGAGGACCGCGTGTCCTCTCCCTGAACCACCATCCCGGTGAGCACAGGCGGCCTGCTGGCCGGGGCGCAGGTGCTGAGGCTCTGAGGGGGGCAGTCCCCCAGGGCGGGGCTTGTCCAGTCCCCGGGCCTGCAGCGTCATCCGCCTTCCTAACCCCTCCTAATTGGACCAGGAACGCAGCTCTTAATAATGCTTCTCACCTGAAAACACATACTTGTTTCTAACCAAGACTTTCATGAAATTAGGGAACCAGAATGGCTCTAGAAATAATTCAATGCCTTGATCTATTTGTACATATAATTTGTGAAACCCTATATATCAATTTTTGAAAAAACACCTCCTGCCACACGGGTGGTGACCACGCAGTGGCCTCGATGCCGCAGGAGGGAAGCTCCATGGAGCAGGCAGGGGCGGGGCAGGGCGGGGCAGGGCAGGGCACTCACCTTTCCATGCACCAGGTGGAGGAGCACTGGCCTCTGCAGCGCCTCCAAGTTTTCCTTCCCTATGATCTTAGGGGGCTTCTTCCCTTTAAAGATGCTCTTGTCGCCTCTCTGCTGATTCACGTTCTCGACATTGACATCCGTGATCTGGATCGTGGACAGAAACCTGTGAGGGATGCGTCCTGTCCGGCCCTGCCCGACCCTCTCAGGAAATAGAAAGGCGCTCCATTCCCAGGGCCCCGCACACCCCACAGACTCGGCCACGAGCTTGGCAGAATGGAGAAGGCGCCAAACGTGATGGCTTTGAGTTGGGTACAAACACCACTAAGGAAGACTGACTGGGGCCCTGCTGCCTGCACCCCTGTCTGGGAGGCGAGTGCTCCCCATCGTGTGCCCCCTGCACGGGAGAGCAAGGCACGTCGCTGAGGAGGAGGCCGCGGCGTTTCTGCAGCGCAGCTTCCCGCGCCATTGAGCAGCGGCTCCGAGGTGCACACGTGGCTCTGAGCCAGCGCGGGAAACACCTTGGCTAGGAGGGACCAGGAGCCGCACCGTGGGGCAACCCCGCTGCTCCCTGTGAGCTCGCAAGAGGTGCACCCCCAGCACAGTGTAGAACAGCCCCCTTTACTGGGCATCTGCTGCCCTTAGGTTCTGGAAAAGCAACGTGAGGCCACCGCATAAGCTGAAGAGGCCCCAGGGCCAGCTGACGACGTCCTTTCTCAACACACAGGCCTTGCCCCGGCCCGGCCCACCCTCCCGTTTCTCCTCAGGGGGAGCACAGCCTGGGGCCCCTCCTTGGTGCTAGGCCACCCTCACAGCAATAACTGGGGAGCGCTGGGGGCCCAGCCGCCCCTTCACCCCCTCTTCACACGGCGCGGGCTTCAGGCAAGGGCACCCCTGAAGACAGAGCGGGACCCCGCACTCCAGCCACTCTCCAGGGCGCCTGCTCTGCCCGCGCGGCTTGCAAAGGCCTCCGCTCTCGTGGCCAGCACGCGCTCCCGAGCCACACGCCTGCGCGCTCGAGGGACAGGCCACAGCGGGCAGGGCCACAGCCCCGCACGGCGCCATCCCGGTGCCCCCCAAGGCCAGCCGCGCGCGCGCAAGTGCCCACCGAGATCTGGATCAGCTGGTCGTCATCCCCGTCCGGGTTCCGCCACAGCAGGACCACGTCCACGCTGGAAGAAAGCCGGTAGCCCACGACGTTGTGACCCTTCCCCCGATCGAGGTAAACCTCGGTGGCATAGGAGAGCTTGTACAGGCGGTCGTTGTTCAGCGAGAGGCCCGTCGTGTGCCCTGCGCGAAGAGGGGGGCAGGGTCAGGCCGGGCCGTGGCCCCGAGCCCTAAAACCTCTGCCTGGTGAGAGATGCTTCGACTTCATCTGCTCAGAGCAGCCGCTGGACGAGCAGCGACAGCAGCGACAGTCACCAACGACCCGAGAAGCTTCCCTTTCGCAAACTTCAGCTGGAATTCCAATCAGCGACCAGGGCGGGACAGGCCCCGGCTGAACCGTGGCACTTCGGAGAAATAGCACTTACGGCTTTTCAGAACATGGATGTGACTTCTCCCCTTCGCCCAGCTTCTTGAGCTATAATGAACATGCTCTCAAGTACACGCTGTACCAGGAATTCCTTGATAAAATTAACCTAAGCTATTTGCAATGAACATATTAGTAAAATGCACAGATCAATACCAAAGGAATTGTAGGGGTCAGAAGGCGGTTCCTTAGTTTGCATATTTTGAATACTTAAGAATTTCCTTCCAATGTAACTTCTTGTATTAATATAATTAGCAAAGTTTCAGGACAAGGGAACATCTTGAGGCTACACACATGCAAATTTCAATGGACTGTTCCTGAAGAAAATCACCTTTTCCTACAGAGCACCTTAGCATGGGCTTAATCCGGCAGGGACAGTTTAATGCCAAAATAAACAAGTCAGTCCTGGGAGCCGAGAAAATTGAGTCCGCACGCTCGCTTCAGCTGAACTTAATGCACAGGAAAGGAGCAGAATCAAGGATTCCCGGAGATGGAGCTCTTGGTCATGCAAGCTCCTGTTCATCGTGTCTGACTGTGGCCCCAGGACACAGTGAAAGGCCCCCGGTGTGCACAGATGGTGCCGTGCAGGGGCGCCGGTGTCCCTGGAGCTGGGGGGGGGGTGCGCCTGGTGACAGGGACTGCGATGCATTCCCTTGGGAAACCTGTCTGTGGAGCAGGGCAGGAAAGGCACCGAGGAGAAAGGCAGCGAATTGACCTTGCAAAAGTGACCCTTAAGGAAAGCCCTGACAGCCTGGACACGTCCCGTCCCCACCGCCCCTGCCCGGGAGCGCAGGTGAAACGCGTGGGCCCCAGCAGGCTGCTCGAGCTGCAGCGTGTAGTCCTACATGACTCCTCACAGAACTGGGGGTGCAAACTCTCATTAGTCTTGTTCTTCAGGCGAGGGAGCCAAGAGCACTGGGCCCTGCCGTGGGGGCTCGGGGTCACATTCCCACCCACACCAGCACCTCTGAAGCTGAGCTTTGTTCTCGTCCACGCCAAGGGGGTGAGGTAGGAAGTGACTCGTCCACGCCCCGGGGACGGGGTGGGGCCCTCCGGGCTGGGGGCCCGTGGCGGGTGGCCCTCGTCCCGGCTCTGGCTACAGCACTCAGGCAAAATTTCTCCCTCTCTGGAGTTTACATTTAAATGAGGAGATGGGTGATAAAAAGGCAAGGAGAGAAGCAAGTGATGTGGCACGTTGGAGGTGGCAACAGGAGAAATGAAGCAGAGAAGGAAATGGGGGTGCTGAGGGGAAGCCGTGAGCAGAAAATGTAGGTGAAGGTTCTGGGCCGGCTGCACGTGGCCTGAGGGAGGCGCCTCCCGCCTCCAGCAAGTGCAAAGGCCCTGAGGAGGCCCGGAGTTCTGCTGAGCAGCAGCAGGAAGGCCAGAGAAGCTGACCTGCAGCCGGCGGGAGACACTCGGAGAAGGAAGGCCAGGAGGTGACAGCAGGGAGGCTGGGGGACACTGAGTGAGGTGGGCAGCCTCTGTAAGTTTTGGGGTGAGATGGTACATGTCCGTCGAGGAAAAAGGCAAGGAGCCTACGGGACTGGAGAGCCGGGAGAGGGCGTGGGGGTGGCGCCGAGTGTGCACGCCCGGGGCAGGCTGTGTCCGAGCACCAAGTCAGGCAGAACTTGAGAGACTCACGAGGCGGAAGCCAGAAAAGCCCTTGGAGGGGCCGTCTGTGCCCCTTCAGGCCGCCCCAGCTCTTCTGCACTGTAACTGGGGGCCCGGCCCGGGTTCAAGCCCTGGCTCTCTGGACAGGACTGATCTTTTGGCCGGAGAGGCCTCCTGTTTATGGCCCGGGCAGAGGAAACGCCTGCCATCTTATCTGATCCCGAGCAGTTCTGGGAGGTGAGCACAAGGGCAACCGGGACACCCCGACTCTGTACTCACCCCACATGGCAGGTATGGCCCAGAGCTCGACCTCTTCCTGCCCCCCCACACTGAAAGCCAAGCTCTGTGGGGGCTCGTGGGGGCCCCCCAAGGACGGGGCTGAGCGTCTGTGGGACAACAGCCTCTCTGGCATTCCAGAGCTCTCCAAGCTGCCACCGTTCATTTTTCTCTTAATTTAATTTCCTGGTCGGGCACAGGATTCCCCTGGTGGCACAGGCGGTTGAGCGCCACACTGTGCAGCTGAATGCAACCTCTGCACCGTGGGTTTGATCCCAGCCGGCCGGCGAGGGTCCCACATGGCGCGGCAGACCTTTCCTGTCGTGCCCGCTGCTCCCCTCAGCAGTGTGTTTCGTCAGTCTGCCTGTTCTGTTCCCCGCTCTGTCTCTGGTGAATCCTCTCACTCTCCCGCACATCTGGCCTGTACCCTGGTTCTTGTATAAATAAATAAATCTTTTTAAAAAATTTAATTTCCTGATCAAGAGAATGTGAAAGGGGAAAATACATGCACGATCCGTTCTTGAAAGCTTGGAAGTGAGAAGCACAGGGAGACACAGCTCGTTCCAGAACTTGTCCCGCGCTCTCCGCAGGGGTGGGCAGGCGGCCATGCCACAGGTGCCCCCTCCAGGACCCACGGCCTCTGGTTATCCAGAGACCTGGTGCCTCCTGTTCCTAGTGTTGCTGAATTTCTTTCTCAGAGTGCTGCCTTCCAGTCTCCTCTCAGGCCCAGCCTTGCTCTCAGCCAGCCTGGGCACTTGCTAAACAGCTGCTTTTATAACTAAATTTGAGATGAGTTTTGTGATCCCCAAATTTGCGGTGGCCTGATTTTAGACATGGCACAAGCCGCTTGCCTGCTAAATGTCAGTCATTACAGAGAGCAGGAGAGCCAGTGAAATCAGGGCACTGTAATAAAGAGGCTCGTGCCATCCAGCTGGCAAGGACAGTCACTATTTATGACACTTGGCACAAGCAGCTTGGGTCACGAAGGTAACGACACTTAGGCCTTCGGGCCCTCACTTGCGCGGGCTCCCTCCAAGATGCTGGAGCGTGTACCTACACCACATCTTTTTTCATGACATTTGAAAAGTCAGATCTTTTGATCCCTGAATTTCCTAAGTTTCAGGTGCTAAAAATCCGGATCTGCCCCTGAGTTTGCATACACCAAATGGCAGCTTCTGTGACATTCTAAGCCAGAGTTCCCGGGTGTTACCACTGTGTCTGTGCGATGTGCACACGTTTAAATCTTTATAAGTGCCCGTGTTTGAAAGTATGAAGATATCCAATTTTCTCACTAAAATAGGAGAGAAAGAGAAGCCACAGAAACTACTATATCTCATTAAAATCGTGGCATAAAGTGTGATATTATAGTGCACACATCACTCATATTTCAAAGACTTAACAGTTTATTTGACAGGTAATAAATTTAGTCAGGTCTCTATATAATGGTTCTCGATCAGATGTAATTTAGAGAACTTTACGTTTTACTCATCAAAAATTTTTTTCCTCCAAGTAAGGGGTGTATCTTTAAATAGGAAACATTTTAGAAAGTAATGAACAGCATCATCTTTATTTCAAGAATCTAAAGTGTGACTTGCTTGTGTAAAATAATTTCAGTTTGGCCCTCCATTTATTGTTTCAATAACTGTGATTGTCTTTTTTTCATTGCAAAAAAAAATCTTGAGCCACTATTTACTTCAATCATTAAAGCCACAATTATCCCAAAAGGTTTCAGAAGTTTACAAACTGAACTGTTTTATATTAGAGCCCAGACTCATTAAACTGAAGCCTGTCACACTAAGTCATGTGTGAGACCAGTTGGCCTAGGCAACGTGTCTTCTTAAGATACTTTAAAAGAGGGACTTTTGTAAGCACAACACTCAGAACACCCAGGAGTGTACAACCTTGCTGATTCAAAACCCAACTCCACATTAATATATTTCAGGCGGTGTTTTAAAACCGCTAGTCATGAAATGCTTTCTATGAACAAAATCATAATTATCTGGCAAATCACATGGGTTTCTCATTGGTCCTAATTCTTTTTGATGTCACACTGCTGAGCAGCTAGAAGGCCATGTAAGAACTGTTTTTTTCAAATCCCCTCTTATACAAAGGACCTGCAGTCAGTGAGTGCCCAGCAGCAGCAGAGAGCAGAAGCTGCCAACCTTTTCCTCTCTTTTAGAAACAGACCCTGCGTGAGAAGTGGAAGCAGCGCGCGCTAGTGGAAGGGATGAAAAGTAAGTGTAGGAGTTTGCATTTGTTTCACTCTACCCCGGTGATGCCTTCAACATTCCCAAGTTACTTAGATTAAAGATGGTTTAGCTAGGAGCTCTTACACACATGCGCGCGTGCACACACACACACACACACACTCTCTCTCTCTCTCTCTCTCTTTTTCTCTCTCTCTCTCTCTTTCTCTCACTGCCTAAAATTCAAGACTGGCAGAGGGCAACACGAGCTTACCTTTCACAGAAGCCGAGTAGGAAGAGATGAAGCAGAGAAAAAGCACAGCCAGGAGGATCATGTCGCCCGCTCTGCTGTGCCCGGCGCCCGGCTGGGAGTCCCGAGAAGCGGCCTCTGGCAGCGCCAGGCAGGGAGTGACCCTGCTCCGAACCTGCAACAATAATGTTTATCTTCGGCGAAGGTCAGATTCCAAACTCCAAAATCAGGACCTAAGTTCAGTGGAGGGCTCGCTGTTAATGATTAAGCTTAGGTGGGCTGTCGCTTCCAGCCTCGACGGCCAGCGCGGCCTTCCCCGGGGGGCGGCAAGGGCTCCCCGCTCCGCCAACTGTGGCTGCGCCCAGCGTGGCGGGGGTCCTCTGGGGGTTTCTTTCCATCATGTGTGCACGCTTATAAAAATATCGCTCTGAATCGTAGGGTGTAAATTACACTTTCTAAGTGGTCCCGCCACCAGTGACTTCAAAGTAATGTTAACTAGCAAGTTCCTCTCTGAAACCCGGACGATCCTCCTCCTCGGCGAAGCAAAATCGTGTTGCAGCGGATCATCTCCCAGTGACACGCCAGCCTTCAGTGCAGTGGCCAGCAGTGGACAGCACCTAAATCTACCAGGGACTCTCACCCAAGCCCCCAGAGACGGGAAGGAGTCCCCCACTTTTCTTCTCAAACCCCATTTCTAGGAAGAAATCCAGAGGGGGATTGCGGGTCTTCACCTAGGAAACGGCTCCAGAATTAAACTCCCTTTCATGGCTGAGGCCACTCTCACCAAATTGACCTTGTCCTTGGAAAGTCTTGGAGAGACTTGCCATGAGCGCAACCTGTTCAGACGCGGCGGTTGGGGGCCATGTGGGGATGTTCGGGCAAAGGAGGGAGTAAGTCCCGGGGAAGATCTCTTGGATGAACTAGAAAACACTTCTTAAGTCTGCCCTCATTGCTCTCAAAGCCCTTTTCTAGAATCCTGAACTTAAGCTTAGATCTTCAGCCAACCTGAGAGGGTCCTACAATGAAATATAAAAGTTCAGAATTTCCAGTGTTAAACGTATGTCCTCTAGAAAGTATTTCTAAATAAAGCCATGTTGGCTGATCACCTGTAAATACTCATTTAGGAGCCAGCAGAGTCGTGTTGCACTCTGACAGCTGTCCAACGCGTGTCCATCGGAGGCCCCGGTTGCACCTTTAAGATCTGCGGTCAGACCGTGCGGTGCACCATACGTGTCTCCTCGGGTAAAGTCCCACTCTGGTCAGGTGTTTGTACCAGAGTCCAGTCGATAAAAGGCCGATCCCGATGGCCTCATAAAATAAGTGCCCTCCATGCTAGCATTTGCTTCCTGTTACAAAGCTCCCTTGAGTCACTGCGTTAAGTCGTCGTTTCAACACGGGATGTTCAGTAAGGTTGCCTCTGTGGGTAATAAACATCACCCTTCCGGGTGTGCTTTGATAACATTGTCCTTTTACGAAGAAATCTGAAAGACCTGAGATGGTCTCACCAGGGGTGAAAGAAGAAAGCCAGTCTCTTGCCACGTTCAGTGACGTCTCGGGCCCATTCTCTGTCGGGCAAGTGGAGCAGCCCTTGTCCGGCATGTGCCGGGAGAACCTCCCCAACGCACCACACGCTGTGTGAAGCAGGACAGAGCTGCACCTCTGGGGCGACGGCTGTGCACGGTACACTCCGCCCAGGCACTTGGCACGTCTCATAGTCCGTCCCAACCATCATCTTACGTATTAGAAAAATGAGGCTCAGATGTAGTACAATCATTTGAGGAGTAGCGAAAAACAAACCTTGAAACCTAGACCCAATATTCTTCTTGATTAAAGATGCTAGGGCTGGGCTGTGGGCAAGCCATTTCTCACGGAGGACACAGCGTGATGAACCAGGCCCGGCTGGACGGGTCACCCCGGTTCTGAATGAGCCCAACCGAGCACTGGATCCCTGGGGGTGAATGGTCCACCGTGAACACCGGGAGGTGCTCACTTGCGCTCACCAGTTCAAAGTCAAATAATAGGGTTGCAAACACTGCTATGGCAATGAAACCCCGCAGGCAGTACCTGTGCCGCGGAACATTGGCTACACTTTTTGCAGCAATAAACAGGAGACTGTGCAACAACGATGGATGAGGAATTCCAAAGTACAACTGTGTCTCTACTGAGTATCAGAGGTTGTTAAGTTAGCTCCTTTTCCGAGATTAGCAGACAAATGAACTTCACCCCACTAGAGGCCGGAAGGAAATGTATCACCCTACTGGGTCCACACACAGGAAGCCACATATATGCTCGGCGGAGACGGGGAAATGTCTTACAGCATCAGGACGCTCTACTGTCTCCTTAGAGAAGCCTGGCATCACTGGGAAAGATCTGTTTTAGAGAGACACTTCAATCTATCCCTGAGCGGCAACACTAACGTTTAATAGTATTTTTAATGCCGCGAGGGAAAGCAGGCAGAGAATTTGAGAACGCTTGCGATCATACCTTGTTTAAGAAATCTATACATCTGTATGTGATAGAAAGAGAATTAGAAGATAGTCACTGAAATATCAATCAGTATCTCTAGGAGATGGGGTTATGGTGGGCTTGTGTTTATATTGTTTTTGCCATTACATTTTCTCACATTCTACAATACGCTTAATATAATTTTATTGGTTATAGATTTGGATTTACAGAACATTACGAGGACAGAAGAGAGAGATTTCCCATATAACCTATACTGTCGGCCTTATTATTACCTTAAATTACCGTGGTAGATGTCGTTCTATTAAATCAGTATTATTATGTCAAGAAAACCCCATATTTAATTTTTTCAGTTTAAAAAACTTTCCTTTATTTACTTTTCCTTAGTTTTTAATCTAATTTCTTCTGTCCCAAGGGCACCTCCAGGCCACCGGGGCCGGTGACCCTGCACCCCCAGCTGGCAGGGCCTGCCCTACAGCGGCTCTCTTCCTAGCCCCCTCCAGTTCGCTGGAGGAAGCCTCGCCACCTAGCAGCCACCTCAGCACCAGGGGTGACGGTCCTCGCTGAGGCCGGGGCAGCTACTGAAGTTCCCTGAAGCTCCCCCGCACGAGAGACTTGTCTCTCCTGACCATCGACACGTCACGTAGGTCCGAAGATTCATAAAGGTTTAACTTGTTTCTACGGTTGTTCAGCTTTGGTCACGGGGGTCCTTGTGCTGGCTCCATCTTCCTTGGACGTGCCCCTTCCGTGTGTTCAACTATTTCCTTCCATTTCTGGCAGCAGGCGCCCCAGGCTCAGTCTGGGTATTTCCCGCAATCCCAGAAGCAGGCCTAGGTCAAAGGCGCGTGGTTCCTTTCAGCGGAGGGTGGATTAGGAACCAAGAAGCGGGCACAGGGGTGCTGACCCTACACCACCAGGCCTCTGCGCGCTTCCCACTGCTCCTCGCCGCGGGGCGCGGCCTGCTGGGTGTGCTCCACTCTCAGCTTTGAGCTGGGTACGAATTCTCAGGTATGTTGTCGCTACAACCTAGATGCCTTGCTGCTCTTGGGTGTGATCTCCTAGATGCTGTCTTTACGAGGCGTTCACACTACTCTGCGTGCGGAGGCCTTTCTAGAGCCTTTAATAGTCATTCATGTATTCTGTGGGGTGCTGGGAGGAGAGGCGCTTTTTTAGGTGGTTTTTAAACTTTTTCTATATTTTCGAAGTCCATCAAAATGTAATTTGAAATGATGACAGATGACAGATGACTTCTGCCTTTTAGCTACCATTTAAACATTAAAAAATATGAGTTCCTTCTTCGGCTTTCTTAGCCTGAGCGTAATGCCCTTCCGAGCGCTACTCCAGCCGCACCCGCCGCACGCGGACATGCTGGAGGGCACGACCCGCGCACGCAGACGCGGCAGCGCTGGGCTTCAAAGAGTGGCATTTGTGGTGATTGTCCAATGTTTTCTGACCAAACCTTTGGGGGGATTCATAATTGTGTTTATTACCACATTTCTGGGCCCTAGGATTTGGATTTTATCTGTAGCTCCCTTCTCACTCACTCTACAATTTACAGTCCCATTTAACAAAGTGGCCGCCAGTTGCCTGACTGTGGTATGAAGGCATGTTCTGTTTCGCCAGCAAAAAATTTAAAAACCAACAAAGTAGTTACCAATACTTAAAAAAAAAAAATGAGCTTTCAAATAAAACTCCAGATTTATGGCTGCTATAAAAAACTTTGAGATCTGCCGTCCGGAGGGGCAGGCTCCTCCCCGAGCCTGTACGGTGACCAACCGAAGGTGCTCTCAGGCTGGGACACTTTCCCCAGACAGCAACTCTCCTCCGCTACCCTCCTGTCCTCCTGGACATTTAAATCTGTAACCCAAGGACTAGTATCATTTTGACTTCGGCTCTTCTGTTGGCTTACACTACCAAGTCTGTGCTGATGACTTCTACACCTGTTTCCATGTAGACGCAGGGATCCAGGTATTCAAAATCAAACCTTTTTCAAATTCTAATTTTCCCCCACTGTTTCTGTTCACCCAGTTAACAGAATGATGTTGCTACAGCGGTCCAGACCAAAAAAAAAAAAAACCCTTAGGGTTATTCTTACTCCTTCTTCCTTATCCCACCACAGCTTTTCAGTCATGCGCCAAACTAAGACATGACCAATATTTTAAAATCTTTGCCTTCTCGATATCTGGAAAACTCCTTACTTCCCGAGATGAAGCCAAGGTAGGACGTCTCTGAGGCTGTGTCCCTGCCCCAGTGCCAGGCACTGGTTCCTTCCCAGGCAGAAGTACCTCACATGCCGTATGGCATTTATCGCCCCTGGCTCTCGCACTAACTAGGGATTTCTAGCACAGACACCGTGACTTAGTCATCTTTGTAGCAACAATACCAAGAGAAAAACATGAAACTCAGTATTTGTTAAATAAGCAAGAATTTTACAAACCAGTGAAAATAATTTCATACCCTCTCTCCCTAAACTTTCCATATGCTTCGATCTCTGGCTCAATTGTCCTTTTTTGGTACTTAAATTGCTGGTGCGTTTTCAGTGCTTGTTTCAATTTTGCACCATAATGACCACAAAGTGAAATGGCTATGTCAAAAGAAAAATTACTGACTCCACTATTCAAATGTAAGTGTTTAAAATGAGTTGAGAAATTTTGCTTCAAATACCTAGGACTACTGGGTTGTAATTCTGAAAAAAAATAATAGATAATTATTCATAAAACAGATCCCCAAGGAGCTACTGAACAGCTGTTGGCAGACCTGGCACATCACTCTGCAGTCTGCTTTGAGACCTGCATGTGAAAGGCTAAGTATCTAATTACTAATCCTCCCCAGGCTACTTTGCCCTGATATGGAGGCCGCTGAAAAAAGATGCCCTGCTAGCAGATCAGAAATGGATCCAGACTTTGTTGCCAACCCTCAGCTACTAGGTCTTTTAGGTTTGAGATGAGGAAGCCTTGACCCACAACAGTGTTACAGCTGGCAGTTTTGCAAAGTAAAAATTTGCAGTGGAAAGCATGTGACTTCAGCTTTGTAACTACATTGAGAGAAATGTCAGTTCTTTTAGAATAGCTGAGTTCTGAATTTAATGTTCTATTCATTGAAACCTTTGAAAACACTCATGTTTTCAAAATCAAGAATAACTAACTTCCTGAGCCCAGCGGTGAATGTCCACTCCCGCCCCAGACCCAGACCCAGACCAAGCCCACACGTGGCCCAAGTACAACGGGGGAGTGTGCTTCACGGAGCCAAAGCCAGTGACTTCTCTGGGGAAGGACCGCAGTGGGCACTGCCTCCAGGACAAGCAGTGTGCAATTATGCTGACCTCCAGCCACACAGAGCATGAGGCAAGCCCCACTGCAACCACCCCAGCTCCTGGCCCTTGTTTGGGCCTAAGGGCTTTGGGCAGGGTGCTGGTGAGAGTCACACTTTCAAGGGAACCCAGGTTGTGGAGACCCCATTCCTGGCCACCCTCGGAACATGGCCCCTGCAGGCTGAGGATACCGTGGAGACCCCAAGACTTCATCACCGGGAGAAAAAAAGGTAACTTCAGATTTCTTCCCATATTGAGATGGCGGTCATGTCCTCATTGATTCAAACCTCATTCTCATCTTCAAATTCTGCACTAACCACCTATTACAAAGAGGCCAAAACAAAAAACCAAACAGACAATCCATGGGATTATGTTTCAGTTCTCCCGCAGTTGACTTGGTCTATATATAGCAAGAAGATTACACGAGGTCAAGTATTATAAACAATGAAATGTCACCTGACATTTTGCAAAACGGAATGAGAAACAAGTTACAGGAATGAATGAACAGTGAGACTTGGGGGCTGCGACAGGGAGAGAGGCCCAGCAGTCTCGACTGAAGTGAAGCTCACTGGGAACTGGGAGTCTGACCCACTTTCTAATTTCACTTTCGATCTGAGCTGCACGCAGCCATGTGGCACTGCCTGCCTTTTACAGTGTGACTCCTGCTTAGGCAAGAGATGCAACACAAGCCAAAGAGCCTGAGGTGCTTTTCAGTGTGCGTGGAAGTTTCTCACCCGTTCCTGCCTGCCCCCCGCCCCAGAACGCAACGCGCCCGCAGAGCGCACGGCTCTCAGGGACCAGGCGTCGCCCTCACTACCTCCCGCTCCACGCTCCGGGACTCACTTTCCGCGCCGCCCCTCGTCAGCCCCACGGGACCCACCCCCCTTCTCCGCCCCGCACGTCTCGGGCGCTCCTCTTCGCCCCGCCCGGAGCGGCGCAGCTGGATGACGCAAGGCGCAGCCGCCGTCGCGCCCCACGTGTCCTGCGCGGCCACCGTAGCTGCCCCTGGGAGTTGAAGTTTCCGAAAGGACTGGTGCGCGTTATCGACCCCGCTCCGGGAGGCTCTCTGCGTGTGCTTTCCCGTTTCCCGCCAACTCCTCAGCGCGGTAAGTGTCCTGGCGCCGCGGCGGGCGCTCACCTACTCTTTGGCAATCTCCAGGCCAAAAAGAAAACGGCCCGCGCCGGCCTCCCCGCACTGCCAGGGCCTCCACGGGCGAAGGGGCGCGGGCAGGGGCGCGGGCACCTCGGGTCGCGAGGAAGTGACGTCAGAACGCGCCTGGAGGCCCTCCAGCCGCTCTCTGATTGGTTGGCTGAGCTCGCTGCGGAAATGGCGTCAGCCAGCGCGCCCGGCGACGCACCGCGCCGCTGCCTGCTTCGTGGTCTGTGGGACAGGGTTTAGGGAAGCGGGTGTTTTTTGGGGGCGCTTGTAGCGAGTTGGGGTTCGTCGCGATATGTGAGGGGTGTGAGAGCCCAGAGGATGAAGGGCGAGAGCGACATGGGCTCCGAAGCAGCGAAGGCGGGTTGTGATTCTGTCTCTGATGGTTGGAGACCGGGGCGAGTCGCTTTACGTCTTTAAGCCGCTTAACCTCATTCCCCAGCAGGGTCTCGCCCGGCGGCGACATGTGGGGCGTTCAGGGGGCTCACTCCCCACAGGGACTAGGCCAACTCGAAATGCGGGGCTCCCGGGGCCCGGTGCTCTGGTGCTGTTGGTCCCATGGCGATGCTGAAGACCTTTAGAGGACTGAGGTAGTTCCCATTTCACTGAACCATTTCAGGGTAAAGATTCGGCGGCTTCTCTGGAGACACAAGGGGGATCGCAACAAGAGACTTTTACTTGGTTTTGTTAACTCCCTCTCCCACCCCCACCCCTGCTCAGCCCTCTCCCCACGGGCCCTGCAGCTGGATATTACCCCAACACGTGGTTTTCCTTCTTCCTGGAAGGGAGACTGTCATAAATTACGAATACTTTATCCCAACAGTAAAATCCATCAAAGTTTTTGTTAACTTTTCCTTGGCCAAACTGCCACACCGATTACTAAATGATTGTGCCCCCCTCTTACTCATTTTGTGAGCTAGTAAAGTGCTAGGGGTTTTACCGTATCCCCCAAAAGACACGTCCGTCTTAAACGTTTTTGCCTTTGGTAAACTTTTTAAATTTGCTTTGTTATTCCCATAAGCTCTGATATAACATTGCACGTTTAAAGAAAGAGAGAACAATATACAATAAAACTGCTGAAATTATGTCCTGCAAAATTTTATCTTCCCGTATTCTAAATTGTGGGTTTTTTCTCTTAGGTATTAGATTCTTGGTACACACTTGTTAGATAATTGTAAGAAGGAAGACTTAGAGTTATTTCCAATAGAATATTTGCAAGCTGCATCTGAGCTGCATCTCAGATAGGGACAAATACCAAATGCAGTTTTAATCCTTGGTATTATTAATCTATGAAAGAGAAAAGAAGTTGCCCTGATTTGAATGCAGATTCAGTTCTAAGCAATAGACACAAAGGCATGGATAGTTAAATCCAAATAGAGAATTTTAATGCACCCGAGCCTTCCACAAAATCAGACAAGCCACAGAATCAATTTTCATATTTTGGTTTTTAGTCATCAGCAAAGTGGAGTATATGCTGTTACGTGTTTGCAATGAAATATATGGGTGAAGGGACCAAGTTTGTTTTTGATACTGTCCAAGATACACAAATCTATAGCGTACCTTATGTCAAAAAGTAGGTCTGAGCATACACCCAGGTAATGGAAATAACATTTCCCTTGTACTGTAGCATTGAAAAAACTTTTAAGATGCTTTCCATCTAGTTTCTTAAATATTTTTTATAAGACTTATTATATGACCTTTAAAAATACAGAAAATCATGTACAGGAAATATGTTTATGCTGTTTATAAGGAAAAATGGACACAATGCAGTTTTGTGTTTTGATTTTCTTTTTTTTTTTTTTAATTTTTTTAAAAGATTTATTTATTTATTCAAGCACTGGGTACAGTCAGAAGCGCGGGAGGGTGAGAGAATTCACCAGAGTCAGAGCGGGGAGCAGAGCAGGCAGACTGACGAAGTATACTGCTGAGGGGAGCAGCGGGCGGCAGGAGAGGTCTGCGCGCCATGTGGGACCCTCACCAAGTGGCCGGGGATCGAACCGGCGCTGCAGAGGCCGCGGGCAGCCTCGCAACCCAGCACTCAACCGCTGCGCCACCGGGGAGGCCCTTTTGATTTTCTTAGCATAGCCTTCTCCCTTTATTACCAGGTAATTTTGGGAAACATGGTTTTTGCTGACACCTTAGTATCCTGGCCCTGTTGATGAACTGTAATTTAGTCACCTGGTGATACTCAAGTTGTTTCTAAGTTTTCCATTGTTAAAAATATCATTGTAACACATCTTATTGTATTAATTTTGTGCACATTTTTCATCATTTGAAAAAATTTAATCTAAGAAAAATAAATTCTGGATTAAAGGATATCAACATTTGAAAGATTTTGGAGCATAGATTTAGCAGCTCCTGGAAGGATTGTGCCATGACTATTACAAATACATGAAAACTCACCATTCCATCAAATGAACATTGTAGTACATATAATTATCTGAATTTGCATTTTTATACATTGCTGACACGATAAGTTTTACTCACAGCTACTGGTCACTGATTTTTTACTTTTTATGTGTTTGTAAATCTCTGTTTAAGTCAAATATTGCTTTTCAGTTTTCAGAGGCACCAAATAATGTCATCTGAAATGTTGCCAGCATGTATTGAGGCGTCTAATGTTGAAAGAAAGCAAGACTTCAGTCAAGATCCAGGAGAGAGCCTGAAGCAAGGAAGAGCTGAAGAACTAGAACCAATGTCTAAACGACAAATGAAGAAACTGATAAAACAGAAGCAATGGGAAGATCAGCGAGAACTCCGCAAGTATGTTTCAGCATGCTAAGTGAAATAAGGCGGTAATATAGAGAGAAACCAAACTAAAGGTCAGATAAAGACAAGCTTAAAAATTACCCCTTGAAAGCTGACTGGAGCTGGCGCATCCGGAAGTAGAAGGAGTGGGGAGGGATAAGAACAAAGGAGGAGGAAGCCCAGTGGACTGTGGTGCTGGACTGTGGTGACAGCACCTGAGGGGGAGGGATGCCAACAGCAGTGTAAGCCCCCATGACCTCAAAATGCCAACAGCAGTGTAAGCCACCATGACCTCAATTTAAAAAAAGTACCACAATAAAAACAAAAAACCCAAAGTGCTTAACTCTATTTCTGTCAGAAATGTGGTGTGTTGGATCTAGCATAGCTCTTTGACACATTGCAAGTATTTGTGTTTTTATGTTTGAGGCTATACATACTGTTTGCTAAAGCTGTCAGTTGGCTGTAAAAACTGTGTTTTGAATTTTTTTTTTAGTAGTATGTTGAAGAAATTACACTATACATTTTCTCACCCAGAACCTACTGTGAGTAGCAGTACCATTTGTAAAATGATTGACATAAAGAATACAGTTAGTGTGCATGTGGTCAATATGAAACAAAAATGATCACCTCAGAGAGACCAAATTTGGGCCCAATATTGATTTTGCTAGAGCTATTACAGAGTTTGGTGAGAGCTGGTAGGGTAAAGCTGTCATTTTATAATACCAAATTTTACTGGAAGAAAATAAACTATGGTTGATGAATATTAGAGAAAGCTCTTTTTCTGTACCATATATATGTGGCTTGAAAATTATGTAGAGGATGATGAAAGTAATATTATAAACTCTCAAATTTGCTCATTAGTTTTCCTAATATAGTATAATACTACTAATAAATGAAATTATATTGTGAGGATTTGTATGTTATTTTTGCAAACTCTTCCTATCTAAAGTTTTTAGAATGACTAGATTAAATTGGTGATATTTGACCATTTTTTATACACAAAAATGGCAATGTTACATGATACTGCTGATTTAAACAAGTAAGTGTATTTCTATTTGGAAGTCTTGTGAATATCTGAAAATAGAAATAACAAAAAGTTATTTCAATAACTAATTTTAGACAAAAGCGGAAAGAAAAGCGCAATAGAAAGAAATTAGAGCAACAGTGTCAACTGGAATCAAACTCAGATGGAAATGACAGAAAACGCATCCGAAGAGATGTTGCTCACAGCACCATCCGCCTCATCATCGACTGCAGCTTCGACAGCCTGATGGTGTTAAAGGTACTGTGACTCTGGTCAGATGAGTCCTATAAGTAAACGAGGCTTCACAATTCTTAATAAGTAATATCACCATGATATAAAACTGTGTACTTACATGAATTTAAGTCGTTTTTAAAAATCCATGCCTTCTAAATTAAACCAATATGTTGCTTATTTTATTTATTTATGAACAGAGGTAGGGGAGAGAGATGTAATAGATTATAAAGCTCAGTAACTGTATTAATCATAAAGATCTGTGGGTGTTTTTGATACTTATCCTAATCAAAAATAAGAAATGTGGTTGACATAATCATTTTTTATTCAGTAGCTTGAGAAACCTGGTCATTTGAACAGTGTTGTGAAGAGAACATGCATTAATTGCCTTCCAAACAGTTTGGAAGTTATGAAAATAGTAATAATAGGACCCTAAGAGTTTGTTTTCCTTTTGTGTCTCTTAAGCATAAATGTTTTCATGAACTAACATTTAAAATGGATATGAAATTAAAATGCTTCACAGAATATTGATTCTACTTATGTTAGTACATATGGAAATTATCAAAGAGGACTTACATTTCAAAAGAAAAAAGACACCTGTCGTTCATCACTTCTGCTTGTTTTAGTCCACCAAGATTGTGGAATGCCCAGAGGTGGTTTTGATAATGCTGCTTTTAAAAATGCCCTCTGTTTCATAGGACATAAAGAAACTTCATAAGCAGATTCAACGATGTTATGCAGAAAATCGGCGAGCACCACATCCCGTGCAGGTGTGTTTGAGGAATTTAAAGCAAACTCCTGTCTCCTTTTCAGTCTTCCACAGCAGAGGCGTAAATAGTCCCAATTGCCTTTACAAGAATCTTAAAGATAATCTTCCATAGAGAATAAAATGCCTGCTTAAAAATGTTCTGGTTTTCTATTAAAATATTTTAAATATCTTTCAAGTCATTCTCCAACACTGCCCCATCATTGTCAGTCTGGCTCGTGTGGACTGCTCATTGCATTGTAGGAGAATGTCTTATAGAAGGATAATCCCTTCTGGAAGGTGCGGGAACTGCTCCTGCCTTGTGTGTGCTACAGTACCTGTTGACGAGGTTCTTTTTTGCTTAAAGGATTTTGAGTCACTGGTAATTTTGAAAAGTACTTCCTTATTTCTTTAGAGTGAGGGAGTAATTTGTGAGTTAGTTGACTTCTGTAACATAGAGTCTTTTTTTTTTAAGATTTATTTATTTATACAAGAACAGGGGTACAGGCCAGATGTGTGGGAGGGTGAGAGGAGTCACCAGAGTCAGAGTGGGGAACAGAACAGGCGGAGCCACTGAAATACACTGCTGAGGGGAGCAGCGGGCGAGGCAGGAGAGGTCTGCTGTGCCATGTGGGTCTCTCTCTCTGGCCGGCTGGAAGATGGAACTCATGCTGCAGAGGCTGCGGACAGCTTCCTAGGTTGTATCTTAACCCCTTCCACCACCAGGGAGACCCTCGAGTAGAGTCTTTCTTTACTGAAGTTGTTTAAATTCTAAGTGACCAAAAAATCAACACTGGCTCTCTGTTATTAAGAACCGGAAACTTAACATATTTTTAGTTAGATATTTGCCTTCTATCAAGTGATAATTATTTAACACTTTTACATTTTCTATTCTCACTCTTTAATTAGATTTGAAATAGGTGTCAAGGATTCCTTTTTCTAAAATCGAAGTGAGAAACTTTGCAATGGTAAAAAAAAAAAAATAACCGGTGACAAGAAAGGAAATGGAAATGTGACATGGAAGCAGGGAGTCTGTAGGAAGAGGTTCGTTACCTCCTTGGAAAGCGGGATGAAAATGTAGATGGAATATGGAAGCCAGTGGGTTGTGTTTTACACAATTTTTTTTTTTTCTAGAATGAGAATATTTTGTGTTTCTCTGATGGTCAGATGAGTGATGAGAACAGTGACCTATTGGGCTTTAATGGTCACTTGTTTTCTCTCTGTGCCTGTCAATCTCTTAACAGTTTTATCTGACAAGCCATGGAGGCCAGCTGAAAAAGAACATGGATGAGAATGACAAAGGATGGGTCAACTGGAAGGTAATTTAAATACATTGATTCTCACAAAGTTCCAAGTATGTTTATGCTTAAAGCTCTGTGTTTTGTCCATAAAATGCTACTAACTGCAGGAGTCAGCAATCTAAACTCCTCGTGCGTGCCCGCACACAGACCTAAGGCCTGAGTGGGAGCTGCTCAACAAGAATTGTCTTTTTGTACTTGCTCCTGTTCGGTGTCACCACGTTATGAACAATTCTTTAAAAATGTAAACAAAACGTTTGACAACATATGTGATAAAATGCTGTGCTTTTCCTGTTTGTGGCATTATAATTATGGAATGAAAAGTACAAAATATGTGGACTAGTACCTAGCTCATAATCAATTGATCAATAGGTAATAGTGGGTTTTTTTTTTTTTTTTTTTTTTTTTTTTTAAGAAAATAATGAGGTTAATACTTAGAACTCCTAAATTCATCCCTGAGTAAAGATCAACTTATGATTACCCACCACAGAAAAATTAGTTAGAGTTTCTCTGCTTAATTTTATTTATTTATTTATTTTATTTTTTTTTTTTTAGAAAGATTTATTTATTTATTTATACAAGCACTGGGTACAGTCAGAAGCACGGGAGGGTGAGAGAATTCACCAGAGCCAGAGCGGGGAACAGAACAGGCAGACTGATGATACACTGCTGAGGGGAATCAGCGGGCGGCAGGAGAGGGTCTGCACGCCATGTGGGACCCTTGCTCGGTGGCCGGGGATCAAACCGGCGCTGCAGAGGCTGTGGGCAGCCTCACAACCCAGCGCACAACCGCTGCTCCACTGGGGAGGCCCTCTCTGCTTAATTTTAAATCTCATATTTAGTCATCAAAACAATACCTTTGTAATTTGGTTTGATTCCCAGTTGTTTTTTTTTTTCCCCCCTCATGAAATACTGTTAAAATTTTACTGGTAAAATTGAAATGTACTTCTAAATACCCAGGATATTTTCAAACATCTGGCTTTCCTGAGTCCCACAGGTTTCCTTAGAAAGTATCACTGTTGTTGGGCAAAACATCTAAAAGAACCCTATGAAAAATGCATTATTATTTAAATTATGCAAGCTACACAATCGTGGTTATAAAACAAAGCAAATATTACTTTTTTTTTTTTTTTTTTTTGTGGGACCCTTGCCGGCAGCTGGGTAATGAACTGGCACTGCAGAGGCTGCGGGCAGCCTCGCAGCCCAGCCCTCAACCGCTGCGCCACCAGGGGAGGCCCTAGTATTTTCTTTTTTAACTATAGTGTGTTTGTCATTTTATTTACTTGTTTCTTTTTTTCCTTACCACCTTTCTCCCTCCCCCTAATTGTTAGTCTCAGAAACCTCACTTCTTTTACTGGTATCTCCTAATTTTTATAACTATTTTGCCTTTTAGTGTGTTGAATCATCTGTATAAATGTCCAGTATTTGTTTTTGTCACTCTGACTTGCTTTATTACATTGTTCCCTTGAATTCCTTCTGTATTGTTGTAAACGGCTGCATTTCATCTTTCCTCATGGCTGAATAATATTCCATCGTGTGGCTCTATCACATCTTCTTAACCTGGTCTGTATCAGTGGAATTGGGGTTATTTCCATTTCCTATGGCATGTTGTGATAGACATAGTAGAACATACAACGTCGTGAGTTGGTGATTGTATGCTCTTGGGTAGCTGCCCAAGAGTGGGATTGCTGGGTCTCTGGCATTTCCATTTTTACCTTTTTTAAGGTAAATCCGGATCGCTTTTCAGAACGGCTGCACCAGTTCACATGCCTGCCACCACCATAGTAGGGTTCCTGCATCCCCGCGTCCTCCCCTGCACTTGTTGGGGGTCTTCTTAATATGTGCCTTTCTCCCAGCTGTGAGGAGTCATCTCACTGCAGGTCCTCCCTCTGTCCTTCTCATTGGAAGCCCTACTGCACAGATCTCCATGTCTCTGTTGAACTTCTAGGTACACCCCTTAGAAAATTATTGAGATCTGCTGTTCATTTGTTAATGGGGTTGTTTTTCATTGATAAATTGAGTAAGTTTTTTTTATATTGTAATATATTATTATCTTCTCCCATTCAGTATGATGTCTTTTTTAGTGTACTTATATTTTCTTTAACTGTATAAAATCTTCTTAATTTTAGGTTATTCCAATTGGTTATTTTTTCTTTTAGTTCCCTTGCCAGAGGGATAGCATTCCTGAATATATCTTTATTGTTGATGCATTTATTTCTATATATTTTGTCTTTGAAGATCTTACTGCTAAGTCTGATACACCTTGAATTTATTATTGTGGATGGAGCTAGAGAGTGATCCCACTGACTTTTAAATGTATTTTTAAAAGAAGGGAAAATTTTAAAGGGGTTTATTATTTTCTCAGTGAAACAGAGTGAACATTAGAGGGAAGTTCTAAAATTGGAAGTGGACTGGGTTCTGTTTCCTTCCCTGTGGTGCCCACTATCCATGCATGGCTATTGTACTTTTGAGATGCTTTACTGGTTTGTTTGATACATGCATGGTACAGTCAGAAGTCGAGAGAATTGAGCAGAGCAGCAGAAGGACAATCCATTATCGAATGTATTGTACTTTTGAGATGTGACTGGTCTGGGTCCAGTAAAATACAGATCGGATCCCAAAGACAGTGTAAAAACAGAATATAAAATTTCTTGATAAAATTCTGGGTATGCTGGTTTGAATGTAGTGTATTATTAACATCACCTACTTTCACTTTTTTTAGTGTGGCTACTAGAAGATTTAAAGATTAAAATTGTATATGTGGCCACATTTTCCCTGTTGAACTAAACCATTCTGTTATTTGCAGTTATTACCAATAGGTTGACAATTTCCTTTTGAAGTACCTCATCCTATTCAGGGAAGCACTAGATTCTTTTACTTTCTCACAAAGCCACTTCTCAGCATAACAAACTTTCCTTCATATTCATTAATCTCATGATGATTGTATTTATTTTATCACTTACCTATAGTATAAACATTTTCAAAGATATTAAAATACAAATCTAATGTTTACGCCTATTTTCCTAGGAAATAATGTACTAATTTAGAAGAGGCATACTTCATTAGTTTGTGGCTTGTTAAATTTTTTATTTATACCACCAGCTTTCCAGAAAGATGTGAATTTTTTGGTCTCTAATTTTTTAGGTCACCCGGGGTCGTTTATAAGGAGTATGTTTATAATACGTAATTTTCTAGAAAAGTGGTTGTTTAATAATCAGTAGATTATGTATTCTAAGTGAGAAACCTCCTACCTCGTGTTTTATTTCTTAAAAATTCTTGGGTAGATGCCATGAGAGTCTGGTGATGCTTCTCCCTTTATTCTTTCAACTGTAGTTTCCAAAATTTTGATTGCCAGTTGTTACTTAATCTCGTATCTCTCACCTGACAACTTTAGGGAAGGTGATTTCTAATGTGCGTCATTATAGAAACAGATACTTCGAATTTATTAAATATAAACTGTTTCCTCTTGATGATTTATGTAGAGGAAGTAATTGGAAAAGGCATTCTTTGGAGAATAACTGGCAAATATGTGACAAAAGTATGTTTGTTTGGTAGAATAAAGTTAGAAATATATGTAGTGTCACATTCCAGAAAGACTAAATAGCTAAGTTAAGGAGTTAGAATTTGTTCCTGTAAAGACGGAGCATTGCAAGTAGTGTCCTCAGAGGATGAGCCTTGTCGTTGCATGGAGCTGCGCCTGCTGGGGCCTGACACACCAGGAGAGCAAGCCCTGGGGAGGCCACTTAAGTGACTGAGATGCGAGGAGACGGGGCAGAAGCAGGTTCAGAATAATACATGGATGATGTTCTTTCAGACACTCCTGTGTTCTGGAGTGGGTTTGTCTGGAGAAAAGAAAATCATTCTTCATCAGTTTTCACGAAATCTTATTAATAACATCAATCCCCTGTGTCTTAAAGGATATCCACATCAAACCAGAGCACTATCGTGACTTCATAAAGAAAGAAGACCTGATTTATCTTACATCAGACTCTCCTAATGTCCTAAAGGAATTAGATGAATCAAAGGCCTATGTGATTGGAGGACTAGTAGATCACAACCACCACAAGGTACTAAGCTTGCGTTAATGCTTTTGCTCATTCTTGAAATTGACACTTTTCTTGATCCTAACAGTGAAGCTCATGATCTTTATTGTCTAATATATTTTAAGTCACCTTCCTAGCTGATCAAAGCATTTCACATATATTAGTTTCTTAACCCTCACTCCATTATGAATCTACATTTTACACACAAAACCTAGAGGTGAGGAGAAACTACGTTTGCAGTCAGACAGAGCAAGCATTGTAGTCGGGCAGATCATTCTGAGGCCCGCAGCTTCAGTGATATGCTGTGTGGTAGGAGAGGCTGCTGCTACCAACTTCGAGGTCATTAGCAGTCAACAGATTTATACCCAAACTGGTAAACTTTTAAATGTGATATTTTTATCAGAGGTGTTTTCGGTTCTCTTTATTTTTTTTTCCCCCCATCTCTTCCCACCTCTTTATTCTTCTTCAAATGAAAAATTGCAGAAATACACTTTCTAAAAGAAAACATCGGGCCTCCCCTGGTGGCGCAGCGGTTGAGCTCTGGGCTGCGAGGCTGCCCACAGCCTCTGCAGCGCCGGTTCATTCCCCAGCCGCCGGCGAGGGTCCCACAAAAAAAAAAAAGAAAAGAAAACATCATTGTGTTACTTTGCCAGCGACTTTGCAGCACAGTAAAATCAACCCAGGTAAAGCACAATCATGTTTACTGTGTGTCTGAGGAAATGTTGTCAGCAGAATAATGTAGGGACTAACTTGTCATTCTTAATTAGCACTATTGTGCATAAAAACTGTCTTCAGTGTCGGAAACGTGGCTATCAGCCTGTCCACGTGGTAGCCATGGGGCAGCCGAACACACAAAATGTGCACCATGTGATTAAGAACTGGCTTGGCTTTTTTTTTTTAGTTGTGATTAATTTGAATTTGTTGTCAGATGTGGCTGTAATTGGGTGGTGTCGTGGGGGATTTTACAGAATGATTTTTATGTAGCCTTTTTAATTTTTCTTAGTGGAAAAATTTGTTTCTTATGGAGAACCAGTTTTTTTCTCTCAGGATGTATTTCTCGGAACTAAAATAATTCTGATTCCAAAAGCATGCAAACTCAGAGTTTATTTATCCCTAAAAACATGCCATCTCATCGTGGAGGAATTGAGCCACTCTTCCTCCTGTTCTGTCTTGTGGCTCTTTTAGTCTCGGTTAGACCAAGTTTTTTTTTTTTTTTTTTAACAATTTTTTTTTAAAGAGGCACGTATTTTATTTATTTGTTTGTTTGTTTGTTTTGTTTATACATGCACTGGGTACAGTCAGAAGCGCGGGAGGGTGAGAGAATCCACCAGAGCCAGAGCGGGGAGCAGAGCAGGCAGAAGGACCGAAGGACACTGCTGAGGGGAGCAGCGGGCGGCAGGAGAGGTCTGCGCCCATGTGGGATCCTCCTCCGGTGGCTGGGGAGCAGCTGGGGATCGAACTGGTGCCGCAGAGGCCGCGGGCAGCTTCGCAACCCAGCGCTCAACCGCTGCGCCACCGGGGAGGCCCTCAGTTAGACCAAGTTTTAAGGATTTTGTTGTACAAAAAGAAAATTTATATTCATCTTTCTTTGAATTAACAGGAAAAAATTAAATCACTTTTCAATTCAGACTTACATTTAATTTGTCTCATGTTTGTGCTTCTTAGTGTTACATGATTAAAACCTAATTTTATCCTTAGGAATGTTATGGGAAGAGTGATGGTGCTTCTTTGAGAATTTGGTTTGAGCGAGTGTGTGGAAAGGTGACAAGACATTTGCTACTGAGGCCTGGCCCAGTGTTTTCTCTGGTTCTTCCACTAAGGAGCTCTGTGACAAAGCAGGGAACAATTGTCTTGGTTTCTTCATTTGTAATTTAGTTAAAACAAGTATCCTGAACTGTCGGACTGTTCTGTTGCCAAGAGAATGTGAAAGACACCCAGACACTTGCTCATGCGCACACACACACTCATTTCTTCAGCTAATACTCTGAATTAGTCTTTCCTAAATATTATGTATTGTCATAGATTTTGTTGAAATAATTTAATGTTCTAGTCCAAGTTATAGTATCTTTGTTTTAGGGACTCACATATAAACAAGCATCAGATCATGGAATTGATCATGCACAGCTCCCCCTTGGAAATTTTGTGAAGATGAATAGTAGAAAAGTTTTGGCAATTAATCATGGTAAGCTATAAGGGGAAACCTGAAAATATACCTGAGTGTACATGATGAAGAATAACACTACATTTAAGTTTTGGACGAGTAGAAAATTCATACCTTGCTAGAAACAGTTGTAAAATGAAATCATTTGTAATTTGAATAGTAGGAATGATACATGTATATCTTAGAAAATAGTAAAAATGTAGAAAATTGTAAAGAAAATGAGCTGGACAGTCGTGCGTCTCTTAACGATGGGTATGTTCTAAGATGCATTGCTGTGCACTCTCCTGGTCTGGATGCGATGGCATGTACTCACACACCTGTGCAGCCTCCTGCAAACCTTGGCCGTTGGGTTAGCCCGTGGGGACCATGTCGACATGCCGCCTCTGGTGGACGGGAATGTCTTTAAGTGACACACATCTGTGATTTCCCATCCAGAGATACTTAGTATTCACTTTTTGGTGTATTTTCTTACACTGCATAAAGTGGTATAAATCTGAGGTGTTTCTCCTGCCATTTATAGTTTTATTTTCCCACGTCATTGAATTGTTAATGGCTATGTGATAGTCTATCATCGGAATACGTAATGATTTAACCATTGTTGAATTTTCTTTTCTTTTTACTATATTTAAATTGTAGAGGACATTGTTGGGCCTAAATTGTGGCCTAGACTTTTGCCTTTCAAAAAAAATTGTATTGATAGTAGTGATGTTAGTTCGTACTACACAACTATTCATTGAGCTCTTTTGCCTGCTAAACACTTTATAGCAGCCTCTCGGGAGTTACCGAAATGAAATTATTGATTCAAGAAGTGAATGTCTTCTAAGACTTTTGATAGATGGTACGTAGTTATCCAAATTAACCCTTCAGCAGTATATTCAAATAAGATTACCTTGGAGACTTGACCCCTAATGTAGACAGTCTGTTTATTCCAATGTGAAAAAACAACAAAAACAGGCAGGACTCCCCAAATGAATGGCTCTTCACAGGAAAGAAACCTAGATCAGTGGTGACTTGCCTCCTGTGCCAGGCTAGCACATGAAAGCTAGAGAAATGGATGAAGATGGAAGAACAGGGAGGAGAGGGTAGAGGTCCTCTCTGCTGACGGCAGTGGAGCTGCCTAGTTCTCACGGGCAGACGCAGAGCACGTGCAGGTTGGGAGTCTGGTGACAGGCTGTGACGGCACCAGGAGGCTCCTGTCAGAACACAAAGTTGGTATCAGGGCTCCCCGGTGCCCTGTCACAAAAACACAGTATAGTTTAAATGCAGATGCGACATTGTGGTGAGTTGGCTGAGAAATGTATAGAGTCTGTCTTTGTTGCAGTGTTTGAGATTATTCTGAAATACCTGGAAACAAGAAACTGGCAAGAAGCGTTTTTTACTGTCTTACCCCAACGGAAAGGAGCTGTTCCCACAGACGAAACCTGTGGAAGTTTTTCCAGTGACCAGAAATCCACCAGGGTTGGAGGTGGATTGGACAGTGATTCCAGTGAAGAGCAAAATAGCAGAAATGAACAAGATTCACCTCATGAAGAAGAGAAATAGGATAAAGACGACCGCACCACATCTGTTGTGAAGATGTCTGTTTCACACGAAGGTCCTCTAACTTTTTATTTATTGTTTTGTTTTTTAGTTGAGGGGAAATTAGGAAAAAATGAGGTACTTTATAAAATATTCAAATTGGAAGAAAATTTCATTTTCTGTTGTAAATTTTTTAAAAACTTTTTACAGCTAAGTGATAGCAAAATTTTTGTTGTCGCTTAAGAGGATTTAAATGGGTAAGTCTCTGTATAGTTTTGTAAGGCTTAAAAAATAATTTGAGAATTTTACTGCTAAGTCTTCATTCTCTTGTTTACTGGATTGTGTTCTTCAGAATGTGCCTTCAGTTTTATGTTTATATTAGTGTCTTTCACATGTTTTGCTTATTTGTGGAGACAGATTATTCACAAATCTCTGTAAGTACCCAGAATGTTGTATATGGGAGGTTACTTTCTATTTGCAGCAGTTCAGTTACTTCAAAGGCAGATAGTGATTATGGGAATATATGTCAGATTGATAATCACTTATTTTTTGGACAGTGGAACCCTTTGTTCCTCCTTCGTTCTAAAGCAATTTCTAAAAGGTATGAATTATGAATACAGATTCATAATTCTAGTAATGGTGGAAAATGATTTCAATGAAAAAATTTAATTTGGGGGACTAGATTATTTTAAAGCTGTTGAAGGATCACCTTTATCTTCACCTAAACTAAAAAAGAACAGCTTTTAACTGTCCTTGCTTTCCATATATATACTTTGAAGATAAAATATCCGTTGCTTCATACAGTGGATAAAGGTAACTTGGTATGTACGTCTGCCCACAATGATGTAATGCCCACATGAATGTAAGCCGGTGCTTCTGTAAATACATGCGTGTGTGAAAATGTGCATGACTGATTCCCTCTTCTGTCCACATCATGTGCGATCCTGTCCCTCGTTGGTGATAGCCGGGTGGAGCTGCTGTACAGCTGCACTATTTCTGTGAGTAGTTTGTTGAACAATACTAAGGAAGAGAATTTAATAAAGAGCAAAAATCTGTAAGCGTTGGAACTGGCAGGGGAATACGGGGCTAAAGGAGATGCTTTAGTTTCCCGCTCATCAATGCCGACCAGTTATGCTGCAGGGCAAGTTGCTTTCCTCTGTCAGCACGAAAGTGAAATCTCAGAAGCCTCTGCTGAGTTTGGGTAAGTTAAGTTTCCGTTCTTTTAGTTGTTGATATTTCAAATTATATATACCATTTGATAGAACATTTATTGGTTTTAATATTGATGTTCAGTTTTTTATTTTTTATTGCTTTATTCTTAATAATCGTATTGTTATCCGTTTAAAGTATGAGCAAGGTGTGTAAATAAAGAACAACCCCTACAATTCTAGAAGGAAAAAAGTTAAACACGGGGAGGGACTCATTAGAGGACTACATTGTTAGTTTTCACTAATTATAAAAGGCCTCATGTCAGCTCCCTGGGGCTGCCAGAGCAAATTACTACAAACTGGGTGACCTGAGAAAACAGAAGTCGATTCTCACAGTTCTGGAGGGTAAATGTCCTGAGTCAGGGCGCCAGGGGGACCAGACTCCCTCTTGATCTTTTGGCGCTGGCCATCCGTCCCTGTGTTCCCCGGCTTGCGGGGTATGTCATCCCAGTCTCTGCTTTGCCATCATGTAGCTTCCTTGTCTTTCCTGTGGCTGTGCGCATCTTCAGCAGTTTGGTTCTTATATCATCTTTTTTCTTAATGCATCCTTATGATGTTTGGGTTTGTTTAGGTACCTACC